TGTGAAGGCAAATCAGAGGCAGGAAGGAAATCAACCGGTTCCTGTATCACTCTTTGCTGACATCTTAGTTACTTTGATAATCCTAAAAGCGTGATCCTAAGGGTGTTTACTTCTCCCAAATGAGAGGTGATGGGTAGCTCATTTTTTTAATGTAGCAACAGGAGGTCAAAATAATGAGAGGATCAGGGAATATCTATTTTCAGGTTTTTCTTATCTGGAGGAGGGGGGATGGAGGCCCTTTATATTTTCTCTTTCTGTAGATTGGCCACCTGGGGAAGAATTAAGACATCTAATTAAGCAGCCCCTTTCCTCTCGGGTCTGGGTTGGTTCATATGGGAAATTTGAGCTCTTTATGGCATCTGATGCCGATCCTCTCCCTCTTCTGCTTGAGAGGAGTCTTTCCCAGGAGGGAAGCATTGAAAATAGAATATCTCGGTGCAGATTGAAGTAGTGCAGCCATTCTTTCTTCCCAGAAGTCAGCACTCTGTGGCCCTTTGTGGGAGCAAGATTTATGTGAGCAGCTCCTGCACAGGTAAGATAACATTAAAAGTCCCCCCCCCCATTGCCACCTATAGCTCAGTTGTAGAGGATCTACTCTGCATGCAGAAGGTCTCCACAACTCTAGGCAGCACTGGGAATGCTCCCCATCTTAAACCCTGGAAAGCCACTGCCAGTCAATGTGGGCAGTGCTGAGGTAGACAGACCAATGGTGTGACTAGCTATTAATACATTTATATTCCAGCCTTCCTCCTAATGGAGCCCAGGGCGGCCAACGCACAATGAACCAATCAATACATCTAAAAACAATTCCAGTACAGATGCAGACTGGGAAAGATTTGAGGCATAAGGCAACTTCCTTTGTTCATATGCTGCATGCATAGACCAGGCCTTGCTACATTAATGTGAGAAAACTAGATTTCACCTGTACTAGGGGAAGGACACATACCCATGGAAATCTGAATGAATGGAAGTACAAAGCTTTTCATGTACAGTCGTACCTTGGCTGACGAACGCCTTGCAACTTGAACGTTTTGGCTCCCAAACGCCGCAAACCCGGAAGTGAGTGTTCCGGTTTGCAAACGTTCTTTGGAACCCGAACATCTGACATGGCTTCCACAGCTTCTGACTGAGTGCAGGAAGCTCCTACAGCCAATCGGAAGCCGTGCCTTGGTTTTTGAACTTTTTGGAAGTTGAACCAAGGTACAACTGTATTATTCAATGCAAGTCAGCATGGCAGAGAGGGCAAGGCCAAACCTCAAATGTTCCCAGAAGTCCTCTGGGCAGTAAGCACATAAAACAGGTCAAAGTGGAGAAGTAGACAAGCTAATAAGGAGTAGACAGGTGGGTCAGAAACATCACATATAGAGCCAAGACTTGCATGTGTACATGAAGGAATCCCAAGGCTGGAACATCTTTTCTGACAAGAGCTTATTTGAATGATCAAGCATCTGTCAAAAAGGGTTGTATCTTCCAGGCCAAGATAGCTCTGGAATATAAATATTTTAAAAGTTATTATTGCCCTTAATCTTGTATGATTCGAAATGTCTCTTGCCAAACATTTATCTAAGTATATTCTTGGATATTTCGGCTTGGACCAAATACATACATTCATAACTTGATAGCTGCCACATGAAGTGCTGGCTTGCATGTCTGAATGGGCTGATAATTACACACTCGGCATCAGAGATAAAAGTGTTTATATCACCTCAAATGAAATACATTTGGATGGAGCCAGTTTGCACAATTTCAGCAGCCCGCTGTCCAGTACATAAAAATCAAGTATGTTATGTTCCTTGGCTCACCGTGCTTAGACATTTCAGCTCCCCTTGTCCAGCTTTCTTGTCCATTTCCCTGTGCTTAACATACATGCTAAATAGGGTTTTTTGTTTGTTTGTTAACTGGAAGGCTTGGAACCAGTGCTTGAGATTGGCTCTTCACTACACAGATTGTCACTGAGCACAAGATCAATAGCCTTCAACCTTTACCAACTCAGGACCCACCTTTAACCCAATGTTGTTTACTTTGGGGGGGGGGCTCATTTTTTAATCCTTTATCATATATTTGTATGGTGGCAGTGCTGCTGTTAAGACCAACAGTAGATCAGACTGTGACCTGGTAGCAGATCCCTACCCACCAGTCGCAGCCCAATGCACTAGACAAAAGATCTCTTTCCCTTAAGTCATTTCCCTACCTCTGGGAGCTTGATTTACATGTTTGCTGGCATGGACATTAGCAGCTGGTTTACCTATGTGAAGAATTGCTCAAGCAACTACGGTAGATGGCAACACCTGTCATGGGCTGGCTCTGATTCTCTGACATCATTTTGCATTAGAAGGCATATGGTTTAACTTTAAAATCTTCATCAACCTGTCTAAAAAATAAGTTTCAAAAGTTTATGGGCATCTTTAGAGAGAGGGGTGGGGGAAACCCCCAACTCATCAGCAGTAGCAATGCTGGCGAACAGTAGTTACTTTGAAAGCCGTTCTGCTGATGACATCTAGTGGCCACGTAATTTCAAAGTATATTTGACCTACTTTGAGCAGGCATAAAATATGCCTAATTGAAGAGGAATGCAGAGCTACTTTTCACTTTCCTTTTGCCATTTGCAAAGGCAAACAAACATTTACAAAGGTATGGATAGTGGGTCTAATGGACCTAGGAGCAACTGTATGTAGGAATGTTTGTGTGTTAAGAGGGAGGGAGGGAGGGAGGGGGCATCACAACATTGCACATCGAACTCTAATCATCTTAAATCGCAAAAGTATTAGGCTTCCTACCACATTGCAACCTGTAAAAATCTCAAGACAAGTCGTGTCCTCCACTGGAAGCACATGTATAAGGGAAGGATCACAGGTAAGTGGTGGAACATCCCAAGTTTCTGGGTGGGGACTTATTCCGTTCTCAGTAAGGACTGTAAAAAGGTTGCCTCCATACAGATCAGCAAAAGATATATACCGTACTTTTCTGTGAATAAGATGAGGTTTTTTTTAATTAAAAAATGATGTTAAAAATTGGGGTCGTCTTATACATTCATCGTGCATTGGGGAGATGTGAGATTGGTTGCTGCCGCGAGCCAGAGATTGTCAGTGGCTATTGGTCTTGTTATTGGTGGCTGCTGCAAGGGCTGGTGTTGATTGGCTGTCATTGTGACAACTGGGCGGCCAATTGTCAGCTTCTGTCTGCGATGGGCATGGGACCTTTTGCGACTCATGTGAGTGGCAGCGGGTGAGCGATTTCCTGCAATCTCCCCTAAAAAAGCTCAACAAACAACTCTGGGCAATCTCCCCCCATTTTCTTAATTTGGAGTCCCCCCCCCACAAATAGGGGGGGTGTTATACATGGGGGCATGTTATAAACTAAAAAATACGGTATGTAGGTATATCACATTGACTTCTGTGGCATTTGTTGATGATTAGATAGATGTGGAATTACTCTGGTCTAGTGGAGCATCATAAAAAATAAATCCTCATCAGCTGCTGAAGCTTATCTACGATCAATTTCCTTTTAATTATTCTGTCGCTCACTCTGATCCTTACTTACAAGGGATGATGCAATCAGTCTCAACCTCCAGGGTGCTGTTTAGGAAGCATTTCCTCATCAGAATTTAGAAAGGAAATTGGAATCTGGTTTTGTAGCTGGCTTATTTTACTGACAGTAGAGCAGCGATGATCATGAAGGAAGTAGCACTAGAAGGGAACACAGCATCCGGATAATTTATTTTCCAATTTAGAGTCAAATATATCAGAGATGGGACGCGGGTGGCGCTGTGGGTAAAACCTCAGCACCTAGGACTTGCCGATCGTATGGTCGGCGGTTCGAATCCCCGCGGCGGGGTGAGCTCCCGTCGTTCGGTCCCAGCTCCTGCCCACCTAGCAGTTCGAAAGCACTCTTAAGTGCAAGTAGATAAATAGGTACCGCTTTATAGCGGGAAGATAAACGGCGTTTCCGTGTGCTGTGCTGGTGCAGGCTCGCCAGAGCAGCTTCGTCACGCTGGCCACGTGACCCGGAAGTGTCTCCGGACAGCGCTGGCCCCCGGCCTCTTATGCAAGATGGGCGCGCAACCCCAGAGTCGGTCACGACTGGCCCATATGGGCAGGGGTACCTTTACCTTTACCTTTATATCAGAGATAGTATTGATCAGGGATACCCCTTAAGGTAACCTTTCCCAACCGAAGGATCTTTGCCAAAGCAGAATACCTAAACAATAGTAAAACCCCATTTTAACTGGTTTATAATTGAACAAATTGTTCAAAAAGGAGGCCTGAATGTTTCCATTATTGTTCAACATAAGGATATTCTTATTGTGGCTATTATTTGTGGGCAAAGATGAAAGTGGGGGAGTCCATGATTATTTCCAATACTGTTGGGCCCCCAGAGAGGTTTGCAGCACCAGAGCTAAGCCACTTCCCTCACAAGAAGGCATCAAAAGCACTGCTTGAGCACAATCATATATCTATCCAGTTTAGCAGAGGGAATGGGAAAGGCACAGCAAAGTTGCTGAAGGTGCGCTGCCATTTTGTCAACTATCAAAGAACCAGAGTGCACAATAAAGTTATAGCTACATAGGTGCAGTGCTTTTTCATGATAGTATTCACAGTAGAGTACCAGCATTTATTTATTTTTTGCTGCCCATGCCAGTCATTTTGTGCTGGCATCCAAAATATGAGTACCAGCACCTCATTATTATTATTATTATTTACCAAAAAAAGAGCACTGTATAAGTTATAAAAGACATGTTTGCAGCTTTATAAGATATTTTCCCTAGTGATAAGTACATTGGCAACTCTGTCAATACTTGGACAGCAGTTTGGGAATTACTGATCCAAACAGATATTGTTTCTAAACCTATGGATGCATATACTGTACATATACAGCCAATAAATTTCCACTTTTACTATTATAAGTTATAGAACTGTAACTAATTGTAGGCCACCCATATTTTGTTCCATCTTCCTCATGCAGCCCTGAAAGCTGAAATAGACAGTTGTCCCAGTTTCTTCCTTTAGAGCAAAATCTGTGGATTTTTTTAAAAAAATACCTCCCAAGGGGAACATGAAAAGCTTGCAATCAATCCTAAAGAGACAACTGTACTAGAGCAGTTAAGTGGTTTTATTGTTATTCGTGAGTAAAGCTTATTGTGAGAATTCAACAGTGAGCTCATTACTATTGACACATATTGTTAACCACAACCTAAGGTGACTTTTTGCCACTGCTGACACCCTATGGGGATAAGACAGGAATGACTGCATTAGCTTTGCACAACAGTCTCACTTTCCCTTGTGACTGAGAATCGTTGACACCGATCTTTACATCTGGACTTAACAAGTGCTATGCTATATTACATTTCTTGTGCATAGTTTTGGCCTCATTCCTGAGGGCTATTGTTTTCAAAGTGGGCTCATTTAACCTGTGAGTAATTGGGAAGTTTAGTCTTAAGGGTTGCTCATCTTCATCTCTTCCTCCTCTAGTCATAGCTTCAGTTACATAGAACAGATGGCAAACTAGCTGTTGTGTTGAGTCAGGACAAAAAGTCAACTGGTTTCTGGTTGCTAGACAATGGCTGCTTGTGCCACCTCCACTTAATCTACCATCTTTCAGTTGGTGGCTAAAGTGGTGGAGAATGACCAATTCTTGGACCAGGTTTACTGAGGAACGCATAGCTGATATTTCTTTCCGGAACCAATCTGAGTATCTGGAAATACAGCAGAGCTTGTGGTTGCTGGGCACTCCAGCAATGGAACTGCTTGGAAAGGTATTAAAGCATGAAAACTTATCCTGAATACAGATACAGAGAATATTTACTAGGTGTTTTGGTTGGCAAACACTTGTTATCTATGCTATGGATGCTTTGCGCCTTCAGCATCTATTGCTGTTGTTTTGCTCCTGCAAAGTGCATAAAATTCAAGAAGGGCTAAAGATTGCATTACAAAAAAATATATGTATATAAAGTTATCTGCTTAATCTACAAGGCTCAGAGTTCTTCATGTGGGTCCTCCCCCCCTTTTTTTGGTATAATAATGCAAAGAAGCAGCAAAAAGACCAAATAGTTGTTCTCTTCCATATTTAGGACAGAAGCTTCTCAATTGCTTCAATGAGGTTGGTAGAGGGGCTAAGCCTTCCTATGTCCAACAGGTGATTCTTTCCTGGAGAAAATAATACACTGGAATTTTCTGCCTGTCCATTTTCCAGCTCATCTTGCCCCTCAGAGAGGGTGGTCTCTGAGGTAGAAACGATAACTATTTGTGGGATGGTGGGGCTCATTAATGAGTTGAGGCTTCCATCTGTTTGCTGATCTTGAACTTCCATGTCAGAAGTGTCTGCATTCTCTTCTGTGCTGCTACTATTCAAGCCAAATGGAAGAGATGATGTTCTCAAACAACTGGGCTTGAGAAGCAGTTCTGGGGCATTCTCTCCAAACGATCTCTCAAACGGGTCATGCAGACTGATGGAGGACATTGCAACCTATGGCAAAGAAAATGGGGATGGGGAGAGAATCAGTATTCCATACTCAGCCTTCTTCAGCAGTAATTACACAGTCCTTCCAGAACAGTTGCTACATATTTTACATACCTCTCATATTCAGTTGGCCCATTCAGCCGACAGTGGCAACCCCTGCTTTATGGCCTTTGGGAGTGTATGGGGCCAACAATGTTTGTGCAACTGAGTGCAATTGTGCAACATTCACTAACATCCTGGGATTGTCTTCACTGCATTGTTTTCAGTTTAGAAATGCCACCCCAGACATGAAATTTTATTGTGTATGTTGGGCTTTAAAACTTTTGATCCCCCCCCCCGAGGGTTTTGTTTATCCAAGCAATATAATAAATCTTGTCAAATAAAATAAGCAAATAGGAAGGATGGGAACATGAATACCAGCCTTTATATTTTGCTCTATTTTCTTTTTTTTAAAAAAAACCCAACTTTTGAAGCTGAACTGCACTAACTCTTTTGTCAAGGCTAAACTTTGGAGGACAGCAGAGCAATTTTCACCCAGGAATTTTGAAACTAAACATTCTTCCTGTGGTTCTTTATCTGCTATGGGGCCCCCACTTGTTTTTTCTTAAGTGGGAGTTGCCTGTATGGGAAATATAGACGCAAGAAGACAACGAATATAATTACTGTTAATCTACATTACACCTTTGTGGCAAAATGAAACAAGGAACGCAGAAGCACTACCTGAATTGGATTCAGCATGTGCAAGTTGCACACGGGCCATAATGTCATTGCCTGAAGTTTCCAAATGTGCAAAGGAACCTTTCAGAAAATGACACTGAACTGTGGCCAACAAGCCATCAGTTCCTTTCTTTGCATCAACGGATGATGCGTTCACTACTCACCCTTTTCAGTTTCACGAAGGTGGAAGTTGCCAGAGTCTCCCACTGTCAGTGAGAAATAGGAATTTCTTTTTCATCTTCCCCCTCAAAGACAAGATTTCTTTTTTTAAAAAAAGCAGGTCCCACCATTTTGTATCAATTCCCAAGATGGGATTTGAAGGAGATGGGAGGTAAAGCTAACTTTACTGGAAACTCAGTAAATGAACTACGGAGAATGGAAATGTTGGAGATCAAAGCACGGAGAAGCAATATGATTGTTGGACTCACCTATATATGGAGGAGCATCTGATTTGACTTTTGGATAATATGTTTTGCCTTGCCCTTTCGGGCAACACAAGACAAAAGCATACTGAAATGGATTAGTAAACTACTTCTAATACAGTAACATGTGGACATCACTGTAATGGGCTGGGTAGGAATAATCAGGGAGAGCGGAGTCAAGGTTGTATGCATATGCTGAGGATCAGTCACTTTATTATTAAGGAGAATTAAAAATGGTTGCTGTTTTAACCTTTTCTCCAGTCAGCACATTACAGCTCTGGGTCTTTAGGAGCAACCCAGTCTCTTCTTCTGCTTGTTTTGAGAAAGAGCGGCTTCGATGGGGTTGCTGTTTCTTATGGGCTGCCTTCACAGGCTCAAGCTCCATGTCACTCCAAGTCTAAAAAAGGAAACTGAGATGTTTATACACGAACAATCAATAGGCTGCAATTTTGCCTCTTGCCCACTGATATATATATATAATTGCTCTTGCACTACACTGGGAACAAGGGTACATGAGGTGTTCCACTACCGAAATGTAGAATCATAGGCTTGTATCAAATGTAGCGCTAAGCAGCCACACCACCAGCAGAAAGATTTACACTTGTGCAGCAGGACTTCCCTTGCACTTGTTGTGGGGCTTGTACAGCAGATTTGGCAAGGGCATGGAAACATGCATGAGCAGATGAGCAGTCCTGATCCAGCAGGCTTTTCTTACATTTTTAAGAATACTATCATATATTCATCCCACTCCAGCTCAATCTTTTATTCTGTAGACTAAGCACAATACCTTTCCTGGTAGGATAGTGAGATTTCCCTATAAAATGTGGTTGCTGAAGTGAAGAAGAGTTTGGATTTGATATCTGGTTTTATCATTACCTTAAGGAGTCTCAAAGCAACGAACAATCTCCTTTCCCTTCCTCCCCCACAACAAACACTCTGAAGTGAGTGAGGCTGAGAGACTTCAGAGAAGTGTGACTAGCCCAAGGTCACCCAACAGCTGCATGTGGAGGAGTGGGGAAGCGAACCTGGTTCACCAGATTATGAGTCCACCACTCTTAACCACTACAACACGCTGGGTCCTCAGGTCTTTCAGCAAGTACGTAGTTACATATATTGCATATTTCTAGTTCAGAAATCGAACCATCCGCAGAGGATGTAAACAGTAAGATATAAATATGAACAGTAAAAAAAGCAGACTGAGTAGCATGAGGAAGAACAGACCTCTCCCCACCTCCCATAAAATTAAAACCAGGATTACATACACACCATACATTTAAAGCATCCTCCAAAGAATCATGGGAACTATAGTTTAAATGTTTGGGGTCTTCCTAAAATAGAAAAAGCTCAATGACTTTGCGGGTGTCAGGAATTTTACGTTTTGAAATATAGCAACCCTAAACAGAACCATGCATGACTGCTGGTTAGTGCAGCAGGGGATTAAGGAACACAGAGTTGCATTGCTAGATAGGTCATGTGCCCTCTCCTCTGGAGAGGAAGGGAAGCTTCTTTACTCTTCCTTTTTCTCTCGTTCTCTCTGCATCATGTAACCAATGAAGGAGTACATCTGTAAACTTGCTCCCAAGTTTATAGCACATGTTTAGAACTATATTCTGTATTGTCTACCCAAGAGTATTTTGCCTGTATTATCCTTGCTGCTGCATGGAACAATGCATGACTGAGACCTTGAATCTGTAAGTAAAGCACACTTAACAGTGTGTGGTCTGCACATTGCGAGAGGGGTAGGAGAAAGGTCAGCTGCTATGTGCAGCTGAATGGGGTAAAAAGGTTTAACAACCTATATTCATAATGCTATATTGCTGCTTAATTTTTGTAAATTTAATCTCTGCTACTGAAGCTCTCTCCCTGCAGGAGAAAGTGCAAAGCCCCACATTTTGAATCTAGGCACCCAGCCATTTTCTTTTGTTGTTCACCTACATATGTGGGCCCACAGGGATTAATATATTTATATTTCCTCCCACAGTAACATCTAGTGGTAGGGGTTCTACAGGTTTCAGGCAGGAGTTTTTCCTAGCTCTGCCTGGAGATAGCAGGTATTGAACCTAAGATCTTACCTATGCAAAACGTATGCCGTTAGACTGAAATACAACACAGATGCTTGACTCAAAAAGCTTTAAAAACAGAGCTGCACCAGTAAGTCTGTTTATTGGAACCCTGTGAGCAAGACTGAGACCTTAAAACATTATCCATTGTGATGAAAGGGAACATGTTTTACAAGGCCTGAGCACGGATAAGAAACATGGAGTAAGACACTCTTGTGTAACACTTTAGAATCTCATTTGATGCTTGGTGATTGGAAAGAAAATTAAGTATAGGATGAAATAATAGAAAGAAAGTCAATAAAGTAGTTAAGTGCATGACTGTTTTTCTGTTTGCCTGCTTTTTTATTCAAGCAGCCCATGTTATGGCTAGCATAATTTATTTTGGCAAAGTACTTTCACTGATTCTCGTAACAAGGCAGATAAATGCCCCAATTCTCTGTGTGATCCTTTATCCTCATGCACAGATGTCTTCCTGCCAGTCCCCTTTAAATTAAACAGAGCGACCTGAGTCCCGCAAGCAAAAGAATATATTAAAAGAACACACCCCTCTCTCTTAAAGAAAATGTAGAATATGCTCCTTGTTGGGAGCTATCCTGGAGATATCACACATAGAACTAATGCTGAATTAGAGCAAAAATCCCTGGAAGCTACAATTCTATATACCATTTCTTGGGAAAGAGAAATTGCATTTAATTCGGTGGACTTGACTTGTGAGTAAAGATGCATAGAATTCAGCTTTAAGGTTGCATAGGACGTCAGAACGGGATGCGGGTGGCGCTGTGGTCTAAACCACAGAGCCTAGGGCTTGCTGATCGGAAGGTCGGCGGTTTGAATCCCCGCAACGGGGTGAGCTCCTGTTGCTCAGTCCCTGCTCCTGCCAGCCTAGCAGTTTGAAAGCATGTCAAAGTGCAAGTAGATAAATAGGTACTGCTATAGCGGGAAGGTAAACGGCGTTTCCGTGTGCTGTTCTGGTTCGCCAGAGGCAGCTTAGTCATGCTGGCCACATGACCTGGAAGCTGTACGCTGGCTCCCTCAGCCAGTAATGCGAGATGAGTGCCGCAACCCCAGAGTCGTCCGCTACTGGACCTAACGGTCAGGGGTCCCTTTACCTTTAAGACATCAGAACCTCCAGGATGTTGGTGCCGAGTTATATCTAAGATGGAGTCTAATGACTTCTAGACAAACAACAACTCCCATCAGCCCCATTGATGGATGACCTTTATCATGAAAGGGATGGGACACTGTGACCCTGCTTGATCCCCCCAGTGGCCTTTGGTACCATTGACCATGGTATCCTCCTGGACTGACACAGTGGGAAGGATATCAGAGGCACTGTATTATTACAGTGGATCTGTTTGTATCTTCAGGGGTGCATTCAGAGATCAACACTGTTTTTATGTACAATTGTTCTTTTTTAATGAATTAGCAAGATAATAAATAAATAAATAAATAAATAAATAAATAAATAAATATAAATTATGGAAGCTACAGTCCAAGAGCATCTGGAGGGCCAATGGTTCTTCATGTCTGTTGTAAGAAATCATTTTAGAGAGCAATTTCTACGGCAGGTTGGTCTATAATTTATGGTGAGAGAAGAGGCTCCAGTGACCTTGGCAAGTGATCATTCTGCCTTCCTGTTGCAATCATTCTCCTTAAGACGGACCTGGCTGATAAGTTATCACAATATACCACAACTCTGATAGATTAGTTTTTTTTGAAACAGAGAAATCATCTCACATCCCTACTGTATCGGTATATATTGGTGCAGCTTTGTCTCAGTGGGTGTATTTAAATTCTAGGATTCAGGAACCTTTGATTTCAGCGGATCTGCATTGTAATCCTGCTCTCATTTATGTACAGAGCCACTGAAACCAACCTAGTGCAGAACCACCGTCATAGTTCACAATCCTTAAAACTTTCTAAAGACCACTCATTATTTATAAACAATTTTAACTGCAATTATTTCTCAAAGTGTTTTTTTATACAACTTTTTTTTCTTGATGGATAATGGTCTGTTCATATTTTCTTTATGAACACTGTCAACTTTTTTTCTTTTTTACACATCTTTCTTAATGAACTTGCCCTGCAGTATTTTACCAGTAAGCCCATATAAGGGTTTCCAGTATTTGAATAACTGGGTAGCTTATAACCCCTTTTCCTCTTAAGATAATTTCTATTCCGAACCATGAACAATGTGAAGCTTCACTGCCGGAGTTCACTGACCAATCAATCTCTTGTAGTAATTCATTTTTAAAAACAAAATCTCCCTCATTTAGTTTGCTGTGGGAAAACTATAATGGAAAGCTGCTTATTGATGGTATATACAAACAAAGGAGTCTCAAGGCTGCATGCAGCTGAACTCTGTGAAATAATAATAGTAATAATAATATTCATACCCCGCCCATCAGGCTGGGCCTCCCCAGCCACTCTGGGCGGCTCCGAACAGAATATATTAAAAAGCAACAAAACATCAAACATAAAAAACTTTCCTAAACAGGGCTGCCTGCAGATGTCTTCTAAAAGTCAGATAGTTGTTTATTTCCTTGACATCTGATGAGAGGATGTTCCACAGGGCGGGCGCCACCACTGAGAAGGCCCTCTGCCTAGTTCCCTGTAGCTTCACTTCTCACAGTGAGGGAACGGCCAAAAGGCCCTCGGAGCTGGACCTCAGTGTCTGGGCTGAACGATGGCGGTGGAGACGCACCTTCAGGTATACTGCGCTGAGGCTGTTTAGGGCTTTAAAGGTCAGCACCAACACTTTGAATTGTGCTCAGAAACGTACTGGGAGCCAATGTTGGTCTTTCAGGACTGGTGTTATGTGGTCTTGGCAGCGACTCCCAGTCACCAGTCTAGCTGCCGCAAATTTCATAGTATTTGGGAAACTTTCCCTGAAGAACCAAACTTGGGAGAAACTGGTTCTTCCCGTTTCTCACAAAATCCTGTTATATGAATATCTAATTAGTTGGCTTTTGTGGCAATCACCCCACCCCACCCCGTCAATCCATTTCCCCACAGATTGATTTTTTAATCAACTTTAACAGGCACACAAAGCCTTGCAAAGTAAGTGTTTGTGTGAGTGTGTAGCCATGCTAACCTTTTTGCAAGGGGGCGGGGAGCAAGGAATCCTGTGGCTGCTTAAAGGTTAAAACGAAGCACATGTCTGATTCTACCCCTAATATCACAGAACCATAGAACTGTAGAGTTAGAAGGGATCCCAAGGATTCTCAGTGAGGTTAAGAAGTGCTTAATGAATATGAGTTTTCCTATCATCACTCCTCCTAATAGTGAACTCGAGTTGGTGAGTGCCATCCATCGGTTTAGTCTGCCACCTTTATGTGAAGCAAAAGGATGAGACCTGGGAGACTGTCACCCACGCCAAACTTACAGTTTCTGCTGCAGAAACGGAAGAAACACAACTGCTCTTGTTCCTGGCAGCAAAAGAGTGACGGCTGGACATGGAAGCCCTGAATGACGACTCGTTCACAGAACTTGTTGAAAGATCGCTTGGTGAGATCCGTATAAGGAATCTCAAGCAAGGGACAGCACTTCGAATAGTTCTCCTAAAAGACATAATAAAAAATAGTATGAAACAGAACAGCAAAAAAAAAAAATGCAGTGAATGAAAACAGAGTTTGGAGAATACTTCGAAAGAACAGACTGCACATTTCAGGAGACCCAGCTGTATGGTATAGAAAAGAGTTAAGTCTTGGTTCTCTTAAAACCATCTATATAAGAGCCAGTTCAAAGACTATAGGCACCTCCAGAAGTCCTTTTTATTGTCTATTCATGATTATTTGTTCTTGTGGCAGTACTGTGGGTGGTGGTATTGTGTGGGTGGGTCGGTGGGGGTGTTACATGCAATCCCCTTTTCAATGCTGAAAAAGGCTTGAAAATGTTTTGAGATGGACATACTGCTTCATTTCTAATCAGTCCTGTAACTTCTTGCTGAAACATTTTATACCAGAAATGTTCCAGATTTCCTTTTGCCTCGTTTTTGTTGTGCTTCAATACAAGAGTGCCCTGCCAGGCAGCAAAAATATGATAACACTAGGGACACATTGAAGAACTGATAAAGCAGAATGATGCATGGATGATGGGCCACTATGAATCTACCACAAATGCGCTATTATTGCATCAAGGACACGTTGAAGAATGCATCCACAGCGCCACCCACGTCCCTAGCTCTACCTGTAGGCTGAGCCAAAGATCTTACGCATGCAGAGCAAATGCTCTGCTACTGAGCTACACTTCATCTGCAAAAACAAAACAAACAAAGCTTCTACTCACAGCTTTGTTACCTTAACATGTCAGGTGTATGAATAAGCAAGTGTGGCTATCCCATTGTGTACAGTTTGGTCCTAATACACCCCCTTTTTCCCAGGACTGCAACCTCGCTATTTCTTAAACCTTGAACATTTTTTAAAATTAAGTTCATCTAAAGCAGTCACTTCCTTGGGCATTACAGAAACGGAATGAACTTGTATGTGAACTTTTTATCAATGACATTTCCTGTGCCTCCTTTCCACGTATTATTTATTGACTTCATTTTAATCTCAAGCTTTCCTTCGAGCAGCCCTGGGGCAGCATACATGCTTAGCATTCCCTTTCATGCTCTTGTGAGGTAGAGGACAGGGCTGAGAGAGGAAGTTTGGCCATGCAGTGGCCTTCCTAGGGAACTCAGCTTCCCTTTGTCATAGTTTGGCACTCTAACCACAGCACCATTCTACAGTGAAGGCAAAAATGGTCTGTAAGCTACTAAAGAATAATTGATTGCTGGCTGTGCATGGAACGGAGTGTGTCTTTAGTTCTTTGTGGGGTGGGTTTTTATTCCAAAGAAGTCGAGTGACAAATTAACCTCTTCCCACCATTTGGGAACAAGCCCCCAGACAACAGTATTTACATATTTTTCATTAATCAGAACTAACAGAAGAATGGCTTATGTAAATATATATCAGAGTATAAGTTACTTGCAAATAAATGAGTCTATGTAAATAGCCTCTCTCCCCTCCACACCTGTTCTGAGCTCAGTGCCTGTGCTTCAGAGTTAATTCACACAGTGCTATCGTGTGTATGTTCCATAAACAAGTTATTCTTCCATTTGCACAAGCAGAGCTTGGAATCACAGAATTGTAGAGTTGGAAGGGACCACAAGGGTCATCTAGTCCAGCCCCCGTGCAATGCAGGAATCTTGTTGTCCAACATGGGGCTCAACCCCACAGCTTTAGGATTAAGAGTCTCATGCTCTGCCAACTGAGACTGTCACTTGTATTGTGCAACCCTCTCTAGCTCAAGATATAAAATAACTCTTCTGTGAGTGAAAGGAGACCTTTAGATCCATCCCAATATTTATTTTTAAGGGGCTTTGCAGTAACTATAGTTACATGCCCTGATTCTTTGGGAGATGGAATAGAGTAAAAATATAAGAGCGCCTCTGGTCTATCACTATTTTGCAGAAGGGTTTCAAGTGTTGATTTAAAGCAGAGTCTGTCGTGCCCAGCGGAAGGATGAAGAATACGTGCTACATACTCTATATTGCTTTATTTACAGTTCAAAGCTGGTATATTACAGAAAGACATCTTGCCTCTGCAGGAGCAGAAAAATGCATCCTCTCTCCTCTCTCAGCTCGGAGAGAAACACAGTGAAAAAACAGGAAACCAGTGTACGTCACATCCAGTCTCCCTTTCCCGTGAGAAACTCCAACAGTACAGACTGTGGAATGTAAACACCTGTCTCATGACAAGCAGAGCTGCACAGTGAAGGAAAGCAGAAACCAACATCCTCCCCCTTTCTGTGAACATCACTGGGCAGCGTGTTCAGTACAGTATCAGTACAAACCCAACTTCTGCACATAGGTACAGTGTTGATCCCTTGATACAATCTTGGACAATACATCAGCAGGAATTTCATTACCTGGCGTATAGGACACCGTTACGAGTCCCTTCTGAATACATTCCCTAGCATGCTGCAACTTTAATTGCAAGTGCTTTGTGCTTTGCTTACAACCTTCAGACTTCAGCAAAGCCAAACATGCTTTGTTGTCCTGGTAAACCTGGATTTGACATTTGACAGGAATTTTCATATCTTTGCACAATTGTACTAACCATTCACAATCCTTAAGTGAATAAGACAGTGCATTCAGTTCAGCTTCACAAGTACTTAAGCTAACTGTTGTTTGCTTCTTGCATGACCAATCAAACAGACTCTGATTGTACATGTAGCAAACTCCAGACGTACTTTTCCTGTCTGTAGTGTCACTTCCAAAACTTGCATCTGCAAATATCTCAAGACCACCAGACTTCTGATTGTTAAATCTCAGTCTGTAATGCATAGTGCCTTTCAAATACCGCGCTATGCGTTTCAGAGCTTTCCAATCCTTGACACTAGGATTGTTGACTTGTCTGCTTAGCAAATTACAGCTAACAGCAATGTCTGGTCTTGAACATCTGGCAATGAAGTTTAGCTTGCCTAGCACACTCCTGTACAGTGTAGTGTCAGAAAATGCTTCTTCAGTGTCATCTATCTGATAACCTGTTGTCATCGGTGTGTCTACAGGGTTAGCATCCATCAGATTTAGTTTGCTTAACACATCAGCAATTTTCCGTGACTGGTGTACTAGAATGTTACCATCTTGATCTCTCTCTATTTCCAGAGATAGGTAGTTGTTTACCTCACCAAGATCTTTCATGTCAAAGTGCTCTTTCAGTTGAGCTAGGGCGTTATTGTACATTGCAACATCTTTCCAAAAGAATAATAAATCATCAACATAAAACAAACAGTACAGTTTCTTTTGCCCCTCCTCTTTGACAAATACACATGGATCAGCTTTCCCTTGCTGAAAACCTAGAGAAAACAATACTTCAGTGAGTTTTGTGTGCCAACACCGTGCACTTTGTTTGAGACCATAAAGGGATTTCTTCAGAGCACAAACAAATCCCTGTTTTACCTGTACGCCATCAGGTGGAAGCATATAAAGTGATTCATCTAGAGATCCGTACAGAAAAGCTGTATTAATATCATGGTGACTAATGTGTAGATTTTCCTCTGCAGCTAGCTTGAGCATAAGCCTAATGCTTTCATATCTCACTGTGGGTGAATAGGTCTCGTGATAGTCTTCACCTGGTACCTGTGCAAAACCTCTGGCTACCAATCTGGCTTTGTGTCTGACTATCTTGCCATTTTGATCTGTCTTCGCTTTGAAGACCCATTTGCTTCCAAGCAGTTTCATTCCTGGAACTACTGGAACTAGCTCCCATGTTTTGTTCCTTTCTAAGGAATCAAGCTCAGCCTTCATGGCATTTAACCATGGCTTAGCTTCCTTTGAATCCAAACCCTGGATTTCTTGGAAACTTGAAGGTTCAAATACCTTCTTGGAGCTTTTAACAGCTGTTACTGCTATCTTAGCAAACTCATCAGCAAATCTCTTTGGAGGTTTGCCTTTTGTGGCTCTCTGTGACCTACGAATTAGCCTTAAGTCTTCAACACTCTCCTCTTCCTTCTTAGGAGAAAAACGACCTATTGTGAACAATGGTTCCTCCAATTCTTGATCAGAGCTTTCAGAGGGTCGCATAGAGGCTTTCGCACTCTTGAAATCCTCTGAATCACCCGATTCAGTTTCAGATTCAGACTCAGAACCTTCATCAGTGGGTGTGGGCTGTTGTGGTTGCTTTTGACTATCCTCAGTCTCATCACCGTCATCAGGATAACATTGGAAAATTCCCACATTCTCCCCCACTTTGCATTGTACTCAACACTTCTCGTGAGCTTAATTGTCTTAGAGTCAGTCATCATTATTCTGTAAGACCCTTTCTGATAACCTAGAAAGATACCATGCAATCCACGCTTGTCTAACTTGGAGTTTTGTGGTGAGTGAACCCACATGTCAGAACCAAAAATCTTCATGTGTTTGATGTATGGCTTCTTGCCAAACATCTTCTCATAGGGGGTACAACCAATCGCTGAAGATAATCTGCGATTGTAACTGTAAACAAAACACGAGAGAGATTCGGCCCAATAACTCTCTGGAAGATTGGCATCATGCAGCAAGGTTTTTAATCCTTGAAGCAATGTCTGATTTGCCCGTTCCGCAAGTCCATTCTGCCATGGCGAGCGAGGACTAGACAAATCGTGTTGAATTCCTTTCTCAGTCAGAAAAGCTTCAAACTGCTGAGAAGTGAATTCCCCCCCGCGATCACTGAAAAGAGTCTTTATCTTCTTACCATGCACATTTTCCAACCAAGCACAGAATTCCTTGAATCTAGGAAAAGCCTCCGATTTCTGCTTGAGATTGTACACAAAAATATATCTAGAAAATGCATCAATGAGAACCATGAAGTACCTATTTCCACCCAAAGAGGGCGCAAGTGGTCCAACCAAATCAGCATGAACAACCTGGTATGGTTCTGTAGCTTTCCTACTAGACACCTTACCTTTCGCAGCCATTTTCACCTTGTTTGCTGCGCATGCTTTGCACTTCATGTGGTACCTGCAGGGTTTAATAGTCATACCTTCAACCAAGGCAGGCATTTTAGATACTGCCTCAAAATGCAAATGACCAAATTTGCGATGAAAATCGTGAATACATTCTGCATGCAAACTTTTGTTAGAACCTGCAATGCAACAAGTGTCATCCTGCACCACATCATCATAATACAAAACAAACAAATGATCAACATATTCTGCATGCAATACATAATCATTTTCTTTGTGATGATGCACTTCTTGTTCTTGAAGGAAACGTCAATGTTCCGCTCATTCAGCTGTCCAACGCTGAGCAGATTATGTTTGGCGTCTGGCACGTAAAGCACATTCTGTATCGATAAGTCCAAACTGTGAAGAACAACAGTTCCGTAGCCTTTACTGGGAATAGTGTGGTCATCCGCCTGGTGAATCGCACCTTCCTGCGGTGTAAAAGACACAAACAGTTTCTTATCGTTGCACATGTGGTGGGTCGCCGCTGAATCAACAACGAAGAAAGATCTAGACGTCTTCTGGACCTCTGCAACCTTTGGAGTGAAGCGTGAAACCATAGCCTTGTGCTGCGTTGTCCTAGACACCGGACCTTTGCCTTTGCCTCGGCCTTTTCGGCGCGATGAGCTTTCGCTGCGCTGCTCTGTCTTGGCCCTGGGATGTCTGCATTCCCTCTTCATATGGCCTAGACGTCCACACGAGTAGCATTTGACTGCCTTCAAAGCTTTGGCGCCATCTGGTGGTTCCACTGCACTATGGGATGACGTCTGTGAAGACTCTCCCTTGCCCATGCAGCTAGCACCCCGGCGATCTGCTTCATTTAAAATCACGGCAGTAACAAAGTCCACTGTCAGCTGAGCAGTTGGTTGCACAGCAATCTGGGTTGCAACAGACTCCCAACCTGAACCCAAAGATTGTAGTATCATGAAAGAATACACAGCCTCTGGAAAGTTGAGTCCTCTCTGTTGCAGCTCATGTCTCAGATTTTGCATCTCCATTAGATGTAAACGCACATCTCCACCTTCAGCAAGAGCCATATTATGCAGCTTGTTAAAATAAAACATAGTGGATCCAGCTTCTGTCCTTAAGTGAGCCTCTCTCAGAGCGTCCCAAATTTCTCTGGCTGAGGTCTTATCACGCAATAGACAGAGCTCTTCTGGGGATACTATCAATGTAAGAGTTCCCTTGCTTTGGAATCCTTAGCTTCCCATGCATCTGTAACTGGAACTGGGGGGGTTCCTGTAATCACCTCAATCAAACCCTCTTTCCGCAGAATTGCCTCTGCATACTGAACCCAGTCGCTGTAATTTTTCTTGTTGAGCTTAGGAATCCCACAAGCATCCTGAAGGGCCATCATGACTCTGGCATTAGCCTTCAGCGTCATATGCTGCTTTAAATCTTGCTGCGTCACTGCTGCAGCTGCCTCATTACAAAGGCACACTTAAAAGTTACTTTCGATTTCCCCAGCATAGTGACTTGTGCCTGGGAGCCTTTTGCCTACTCCCGGCAAAACCGGCTTTAAAAGTTCAAAGTCCAGCCATAAAGCCATTAACTTGAAGCTGGCAGGCTGCCCGGAGCAGTAGCACATACCTCATCAATCACTTCTACGCGCAGAGCAGATTCCTTTCCGATCCGTCCCTCTGCATTCCGATCCTTTGCCGGCACTCCGATTCGACCTCTGGAGTCCATAACCACGTGTTGATTTAAAGCAGAGTCTGTCGTGCCCAGCGGAAGGATGAAGAATACGTGCTACATACTCTATATTGCTTTATTTACAGTTCAAAGCTGGTATATTACAGAAAGACATCTTGCCTCTGCAGGAGCAGAAAAATGCATCCTCTCTCCTCTCTCAGCTCGGAGAGAAACACAGTGAAAAAACAGGAAACCAGTGTACGTCACATCCAGTCTCCCTTTCCCGTGAGAAACTCCAACAGTACAGACTGTGGAATGTAAACACCTGTCTCATGACAAGCAGAGCTGCACAGTGAAGGAAAGCAGAAACCAACATCAAGTACATACCAGAACTTTAGGTTTGCATAATTAAAGAGGGTTAAAGTGCAATACAAACCCCCCTTTAAAAAGAACAAGACTTTTGAGGTTTGTAATGTGATGGGGAAATGCTTCAAAAAGTGTGGGATAAACAAATGACCAAGGGGAAGACATGTGAACAACCTGCAAGCAAACCACGATAAGTGCAGAATAATCATTGTCTCATAATAGCCCTACAAACACACCAGAACAAATCCTCAATGGAAGACAAGATATAATCTAATCTCCACATAAATTCTGCTGAAACAAATCAGGATGAATAAGGGATACATAGGTTGTTTAGAGAAGCCCAAAGGCTGGACTTCTGTAACTGATTGTTTGCTTAATCACCGCAGGAATCTATGGGACATCAGTAGTAATAAAACTAGGATGCATCAGTCAATACGTATAGAATCAGCTGAACATTTTAGGAAATATCAAGCTCTCACAATTCAAATTTAATGTTTCAATTAATCCTGCATCCATCCAGCTGGTCTAAGAGGAATATAGGATGGCAAAGCAAATAATTGATTCATCTGAAGGCAGCCCTATTTAGGGAAGTTTTTAATGTGTGACATTTTAATGTATTTTTAATCTTTGTTGGAAGCTGCCCAGAGTGGCTGGGGAAACCCAGCCAGATGGGCGGGGTAAAAATAATAAATTGTTGTTGTTGTTGTTGTTGTTACTGTTACTGTTGTTATACGCAAATTTAAGAAACTTTGCATTCTGAAATCCATGAATGCTTTGATAAACAAACAAAAAGTTATGAAGAAATTCACCCAAACATGTGATGAAAATAATGGCTGTTATGTGTCACAGAATGCTGTTAGTATACTACAAACTTTTTATATCCATTAAAAGATTGTTAAGTGGTTACATTTGCTGCTGAGGCTAAAATCACACAGATGATTTATGCTGCCACCTTGTGGCAGAATCATGTATCTATTGTTTAAAACTTTTATGCAGCATTTCCTTTTAGTAAAACAGAAGTAAAACAAAGTCATTTATCTATTGGCCATGATTCAAAAGAGTTATGTGTCCTTGAATCTAATAACTCTGGAGATGGTGCAATGACACTGTGTTTGTTTGTGACAGTATCAAAATCTCTCTCTTTCTTCCTTTCTTTCTTTTCTCTTCTCTCTCTCTCTCACACACATACACACCATTTATGAACATAAGAAGAGCCTACTGGATCAGATCAATAGCCCATCTAGTCCATCATGCTGTTATTACAGTGGGCAACCACTCCATGCCTGCAAGCAACACCTCAGCACAACAGCACTCTTCCCACCTGCAATTTTCCCGATGGGAAACTTGCTCATGCAACCAAGCCACATGGCTTCAGCTCAGCCAGATGATGGGCAGGAGAGCCGGAGCCTGCTTTCCTTTGCCAATGAACAATTTGGAGCACACTTTAAGGCAGGGGTCAACAAAAATTTTCAGCAGGGGCCGGTCCACTGTCTCTCAGACCTTGGGGGGGGGGCAGACTATATTTTGAAAATAAAAAATGAACAAATTCCTATGCCCCACAAATAACCCAGAGATGCATTTTAAATAAAAGGACACTTTCTACTCGTGTAAAAACACGCTGATTCCTGGGCCGGGTTTAGAAGGCGATTGGGCCGCATCCAGCCCCCAGGCCTTCGTTTGCCTATCCATGCTTTAAGGCAGCGGTTCTTAACCTGTGGATCCCAAGATGTTGCTGGACTACAACTCCCATCATCCCTGAGCTCTGGCCTTGCTAGCTAGGGATGGTGGGAGTTGTAGTCCAACAACATCTGGGGACCCACAGGTTGAGAACCGCTGCTTTAAGGCTTCTGATTGTGCACTGGCAGCTGTATCTCTGTCAGGTGTAGTTTGGGGAAAATGCCCTCCAAGACCAAATTTGAATCCCTGGAAAACCAAGTTTGGTCTGCAAGCCATATGTTCCCCACTCTCGACTTAAAGCAATAAAAAAGAATAAAAAATCTACACACCAAGGCAAACCAATTCTATATACCGATCAAACAAACGTGCATACATTTGCTTGTTGCGCACAGTTAATGTTGTTTCTGTTAGTCATGGTGAAGAGTTAAGAATAATGGAGGGCCCTCTAGTTTCTGCTCTTGTACTTGCTTTTCCCTAAATGGGAGAAAAATGCATTGCAGTATTTGGGCTAATAAAGATTCTGTGTTGAAAAATCTTCCAGCAACTGGGAAAATAGGAACACATCCCTTGGGGGGGGGAGTTTAAAAGGGAGATACCTGAACTGTAAAGTATTTTAACAGAATCCATTAGTTTTTGAATATAGAAGCAATTTCAAGCTCAGCAGAAAACTCAGTTTTACTGTGTTTCGACGCTACAAATTACTTGTCTTTAACTGTTAACCAGACTTGGCTGCTGAACTGAAAAAGGAGTGATAGCAAACTGGAGTAAAAGATTTCAAATCATATTTGCATGATCCTGAACACATGGTTCACTTACAGAAGCATTCAGAGCTTTAAAACCTAACACAGTGGTACCTTGGTTCTCAAACTTAATCTGTTCCGGAGGTCCGTTCCAAAACCAAGGCGTGCTTTCCCACAGAAGTAATGCAAAATGGATTAATCCATTCCAGACTTTTAAAACAACCCCTAAAACAGCAATTTAACATGAATTTTACTATCTAACAAGACCATTGATCCATAAAATGAAAGCAATAATGTACTGCAGTCACACAATCAATCAAACAAACAGTAGCTGAACTGGGTTCCACAAAGTCACAAAAACAAAACAAAAAAGAGCGCTAAAACAAAAATGCAAAATAAATAGCAAAAATAGACAGACCTCAGCATAACACTCAAAACAGAAGCGTAACACTCAAATGTTCGACTTCTGAAAATGTTTGCAAACCGCCACATTTACTTCCAGGTTTGCAGTGTTTGGGTTCCAAGTTGTTTGAGTACCAAGGTGTTTGAGAACCAAGGTACCACTGTAAAATCCTAATGGTACAAAGTGCTGCTCCCTGTCCCAATTTATCTTGGACCCTGCCATAGGGAAGCAGAGAAGGCTGATGGGTGTCGAGGCTTCTAGGCTTTCTGATTACATCACTGGTATGCACCAGGCCATCGTACTAGCAGCCCTGTACTAGGGAGGAGTGAAGTGTACAATCTTAGTGAAGTATCTTAATGAAGAGCTCTAGCTCAGTGGTAGATTATATGCCCAGCATGCAGATGGTTCAGTCCTCCACATTTCCAGGTAGGATTGGAAGAGCCTCTTGCCTGAAGTGCAGGAGAGCTGCTGCTCACCAGTGTAGACAAAACTGAACTAGATCATGGGTAGGCAAACTAAGACCCAGGGGCTGGATGTGGCCCAATTGCCTTCTAAATCCGGCTCACGGACAGTCCGGGAATCAACATGTTTTTACATGAGTAGAATGTGTCCTTTTATTTAAAATGCATCTCTGGGTTATTTGTGGGGCCTGCCTGGTGTTTTTACACGAGTAGAATGTGTGCTTTTATTTAAAATGCATCTCTGGGTTATTTGTGGGACATATAGTGGGAATTCGTTCATTTTTCCCCAAAAAATATAGTCCAGCCCCCCACAAGGTCTGAGGGACAGTGGACTGGCCCCCTGCTGAAAAAGTTTGCTGACCCCTGAACTAGATGGACCAATGGCCTGGCTAGAAGCTTACTAGGTTTCTATACTTAGGAATTTGCTTGGTCTTGCAAGGTCTGTGACACACTCTTCACCAAATACCCAGCACGGAACTCTATTCTGCAGAATACAGAATCCAAATGGAAGGAAATACTCAAAATGCAGTGATTCAAGTAATACGTTCTCTTTACCATCCAACGGTGAATTCATTCGAAACAATGCATATCTCTGTATAAAATATTAACATAGGGATGCATTCACACTACCTGTATCTTGGGTGAATGATTGCATAGATTATGGGATTGTAGATCGCAGAAGCTTTGGCAATAACAGCTGGCACTGATTTAGAATATGGGTTTAAGGTCTTGGCATAGCTAGAAACAAGAAAAAAACACAGCATTAAAATACAAGGGTAATAACTAAAAGGGCCAACACTATCAACAAAGCACAAAATAGTTTGAATATTTCCTGACTGATGTGAGGTTGAAATGCTGTAGGGTGGAGGACCACATTTGATATTTTCTTCTGGTATTAAACTTCAGGATTTCTGCAAGAAGAGCAATTACTCCAGAAGTATTAAAACATGCTCAATATCAAGTGTACTTTGTTGTTGTTTAGTCATTTAGTGGTGTCCGACTCTTCGTGACCCCATGGACCAGAGCACGCCAGGCACTTCCACTGCCTCCTGCAGTCTGCTCAAACCCATGCTGGTAGCCTCGAGAACACCATCCAACCATCTCGTCCTCTGTCGTCCCCTTCTCCTTCTGCCCTCCATCTTTCCCAGCATCAGGGTCTTCTCCAGGGAGTCTTCTCTTCTCATGAGGTGGCCAAAGTATTGGAGCCTCAGCTTCACGATCAGTCCTTCCAGTGAGCACTCAGGGCTGATTTCCTTAAGAATGGAGAGGTTTGATCTTCTTGCAGTCCATGGGACTCTCAAGAGTCTCCTCCAGCACCATAATTCAAAAGCATCAATTCTACGGCGATCAGCCTTCTTTATGGTCCAGCTTTCACTTCCATACATCACTACTGGGAAAACCGTAGTTTTTACTATACGGACCTTTGTTGGCAAGGTGATGTCTCTACTTTTTAAGATGCTGTCTGAGTTTGTCATTGCTTTTCTCCCAAGAAGCAGGCGTCTTTTAATTTCGTGGCTGCTGTCACCATCTGCAGTGATCATGGAGCCCAAGAAAGTAAAATCTCTCACTGCCTCCATTTCTTCCCCTTCTATTTGCCAGGAGGTGATGGGACCAGTGGCCATGATCTTCGTTTTTTGATGTTGAGCTTCAGACCATATTTTGCGCTCTCCTCTTTCACCCTCATTAAAAGGTTCTTTAATTCCTCCTCACTTTCTGCCATCAAGGTTGTGTCATCTGCATATCTGAGGTTGTTGATATTTCTTCCGGCGATCTTAATTCCGGCTTGGGATTTATCCAGCCCAGCCTTTCGCATGATGAATTCTGCATATAAGTTAAATAAGCAGGGGGACAATATACAGCCTTGCCGTACTCCTTTCCCAATTTTGAACCAATCAGTTGTTCCATATCCAGTTCTAACTGTAGCTTCTTGTCCCACATAGAGATTTCTCAGGAGACAGAGGAGGTGATCAGGCACTCACATTTCTTTAAGAACTTGCCATAGTTTGCTGTGGTCAACACAGTCAAAGGCTTTTGCATAGTCAATGAAGCAGAAGTAGATGTCTTTCTGGAACTCTCTAGCTTTCTCCATAATCCAGTGCATGTTTGCAATTTGGTCTCTGGTTCCTCTGCCTCTTCTAAATCCAGCTTGCACTTCTGGGAGTTCTCGGTCCACATACCGCTTAAGCCTGCCTTGTAGAATTTTAAGCATGACCTTGCTAGCATGTGAAATGAGTGCAATTGTGCGGTAGTTGGAGCATTCTTTGGCACTGCCCTTCTTTGGGATTGGGATGTAGACTGATCTTCTCCAATCCTCTGGCCACTGCTGAGTTTTCCAAACTTGCTGGCATATTGAGTGTAGCACCTTAACGGCATCATCTTTTAAAATTTTAAATAGTTCAGCTGGAATACCATCACTTCCACTGGCCTTGTTATTTGCAGTGCTTTCTAAGGCCCATTTGACTTCACTCTCCAGGATGTCTGGCTCAAGATCAGCAACCACGCTACCTGGCGTGTACGAGCCATCCATATCCTTCTGGTATAATTCCTCTGTGTATTCTTGCTGCCTCTTCTTGATGTCTTCTGCTTCTGTTAGGTCCTTACCAGTTTTGTCCTTTATTATGGTAATCTTTGTATGAAATGTTCCTTTCATATCTCCAATTAAGTGTACTTTAGGTGTCTTTAATTATTCTTCACTGCATATCACATTATAGGTTCCAAACAAAAGATGGTAGGCATTTTGCAACTGCTTGCAGCATTCTGTTTTTGAATCAGAATGTGTGGGTTATTACATGCACAAGCAATTATCTACAAATCTGCATAGGTGATGGTGAACATTTTTATAGGAAAACAGGCGGAAAATCAGATACTTTAATGTGAAGTAGAATGGTGCATCACACTCCATTTTCTCTGCAGGAATATTCCGGGGGGGGGGGGGGACGGAATTCACCTCTAACTAGGTGTTTATTCTAGCTTCTGTATACAGGTGTCCACCCCACTTACGCAGGGGTTACATTCCAGGCTTCTATACAATAAGCAAATATCACTTAATTGGGGACAGCCTCAAAACACCCTTTAAAAGCCCTCTCTGATGCTCTCTCTCCAATCCGGACCAAAAACACTGTATCCAAAGATACTGACGACTAGAATTGAAGCTCTGGGGCTGGCTGGAGGACACATGGAGAAGCAGCTGCTGCTGCGCTATTGCGAGCATCAGCTTTTAGGCGGGGAGGTTGAGCGGCCTAAACAAAACCCTGCTGCACCTCCAGTCTCTTTGGGGCTTCCTCTGCCGTCACCGACATCCTCTTTGGGCTCCAGGGAGGGTTTCCTCATGAGCAATGAGGACTCTCAAGGTCTCTCCCACCATCCCTAGGTTTGAATCGAATTATTCATTTACTTCCTGGCACCATGCGTATATGCGGTCACACGTGAGTCTATTGCGCCTAAGTGGGGAGGGGGGGCACTTGTAAAGATGTTTAGCCTTGTAGATGGTAGCATTTATTACAATTATGTCTCATTCACAAAGCATACCAGGGAGAGAAAAGTTCTTACAATCCTCGAGGGAACTGAAGTTTCAGGATGGATTGCTTACACACACATATAATCCTTATCCACCCTTGACTGAAACTGCTTCATTGGTGGCTTGCCACTTACCCTGCCCACGCAATCAGAGTGACACAAGCATATGGGGACCAGGACAGAACAAACACCACAATAGCCACAAAGGCAATTTTTGCTAACTTCCATTCACTCTTCACTGACTGTGAAACATTCGACTTCCGGTTATAGGTTGATCCTAACTTCTGAACGTTCCTATGAAAGAAACAGCAGGAGGTATTTTAAGGAAAAAACACTTCATTCAGCATATGAAAGGCATTACTAGCAGTAAATGCAATGGTGCGTAGCTTCTCTTAAAACAGCACTTCAGAAAAAGAGGCAGAGAACGTGTATGTGTGTTCTCCTAATTATATTTAGTTCCCCTCCCCCACCTGATATACTGGTCTCATGAACTTTTGTGAGATAGCTTACATTGGTAGCAGCTTTGAGGTGGATGAGAGCAGGACAGGAAGTACAACTAATTGCTCCTTCCGTTCCCTACATTCTGCGTAAGGTTTGTAAAGTGGCTCTTACACATGGTGAGATTTGCATCAAAAACATGCACACCTCAAAATGAAGATGGCTGAGGACCTTTGGAGTACTGTGGTACCTCTGGTTATGTACTTAATTTGTTCCGGAGGTCTGTACTTAACCTGAAACTGTTCTTAACCTGAAGCACCACTTTAGCTAATGGATTCTCCCGCTGCTGCCGTGCTGCCACAGCTGCACGATTTCTGTTCTCATCCTGAAGCAAAGTTCTTAACCCAAGGTACTATTTCTGGGTTAGTGGAGTCTGTAACATGAAGCGTATGTAACCTGAAGCATATGTAACCCAAGGTACCACTGTATTGCAAAAGATGCAAGCAGAACAAGGAATTGTTGTACACATACAGTGGTACCTCGGGTTACAGATGCTTCAGGTTACAGATGCTTCAGGTTAGAGACTCCATTAACCCAGAAATAGTACCTCAGGTTAAGATCTTTGCTTCAGGATGAGAACAGAAATTGTGTGGTGGTGGCGTGGCAGCAGCGGGAGGCCCCATTAACTAAAGTGGTGCTTCAGGTTGAGGACAGTTTCAGGTTAAGAACGGATCTCCGGAACGAATTAAGTTCCTAACCCGAGGTACCACTGTACAAGGATTATTTGCACTATTCCAGCCTAGTTCTATGAAGCTGGGATTCTTCCATATTTACAGAAAATGGTTCAATGAAAAGTATTAACTAAGTTCCTTTGTATCCACATTCTCTTAGACCGATACAATAAATATAACCAACCAATAAGTCCAAACACCTTTAAAAAGACTGCCCAATTAAGGGCAGACTTCTAACCTCTGGTAGGCCACAGCAGGTTTCAGTGGAGTGGCAGAGCCACCACAGCATCCAGGACCCCCCCCCCCACTGCTCATGCCAACCAAGGTAGAAGAAGGTGGAGAGGAAGGGAAAGTGTGCATGTTTTCTGCAACCAAGCCTGGATTGGGCCCCTCACCACAGTTTGCTGGTAGCTAGACCAGTTTAGGGTCCAGCAGCTCCTTGGCTGACTCAGGTCCACCCACTTCCTGACTATCGCTGACAAGGGCTCTGCTGACAGTAGCTTCTGCCCATCTGTGTTTTGGGCAGTTAGCAGAGGGATGTCTGCTGTAGAGTCTCCCTACTGGTAGAGCCAGGCACAGCCAGGCAGAGGGGACACCTCCAGAAGTCTCATCCATACTCCCTCCATTCCAGCAGATCAGGAATTTGGATTGCTCTGCCCAAGTCAAAAGTCATCAGGGACAGAAAGGAAAGTAATTCCCATAAAAATAGATATTTCTTGCCATTGATCCTCTTCTTCTTTAACAAAGTCTTGAAGCCATAAGCAGCAAGTTAACTGTGATTAAAAAGAAGAAACAACCAACAAAATAATTATCTATTTATATGAATATTTTTCAGCGCTCTGCTTACCTGCCAGTACTTCTAATGGCCAGAAACATGAATAGATAGCAGTGGAAGATTATTATCAGAGGGATAAAGAACACAAAGCAACATAACATCATGGTATAACTTCTGTTTGCTGGAGAATAGGATACGTAGTCCCATGTACAAGATATCATCAAACCTTCAGGTATATAGGAACCTGAGAATAAACATGATTATTAATACAATGCATAAATAAGAACAGATGCAGGAGCTTGACAATTAAGAAAAAGCAGCACTACTTCATAGGAGACTGTTATAGTCTGCTGCGGTAAACATAACAAATAATTTTGTGACACTATTAACTTATTGTGTCATAAGCTTTCAGGGGCCACAATAGCATAATAGCACAATGGCATAACTTAGTTGCTATGCATAGTTACTCGGAAATAGTTCAGTGGCAGTTGCTTGTAAGAAAGCATGTCTTGGGCTCAATTCTCATTGGCTGTGCCATTTCATGCTGCAGATTGGCTTTCACTTTTAATCTCACTGCTGCTTTTAAATTTATTATTTGTTGTGTGTTGTTCTGATCTTTCATTTGTGAGCTGCCTGGGGAGAAGTGGTTCTTAAAAGATAAAATACAGTGGTACCTCGGGTTACATACGCTTCAGGTTACATGCACTTCAGGTTACAGACTCCGCTAACCCAGAAATAGTACCTCGGGTTAAGAACTTTGCTTCAGGATGAGAGCAGAAATCGTGCTCCAGCGGCACGGGGGCAGCTGGAGGCCCATTAGCTAAAGTGGTGCTTCAGGCTAAGAACAGTTTCAGGTTTAGAACGGACCTCCAGAACGAATTAAGTACTTAACCCAAGGTACCACTGTAATCTAAATCAGGGGCAGCTAATATGGTGCCCTCCAGAAGCTGTTGGACTCCCAAACTCCCACCAGCTTGCATAATGATCAGGGATGATGGGCAATGCATTCAAGCAACATCTGGAGGCCACAGTGTCTACTGCCCCCGATTTGAATAAAATCAATAACGTGCATCAAATTATGCACATATCTACTAGGCAGTTAGCCCCTTTGAGTTCAGCTGGATTTACTCTAAGGTAAGTGACACACAGGATGATAGTCTAAGGCCACAATCCTACCCATAACTGGGAGTAAATATCATTGATCTCAATGGGGCTTACTTCTGAATAGACATGTACAATCAATGCGCATAGGTTTGCACCTGCTAGTCATGCAAACACTTGTCTGAAGCTCGATGGTACATCCCCCACAAAAGTTTTCAGTCTCAGGGAAAAGTATGTTTGCTTTCTTGAAGAGTTCAAGTCTGTCCTAGAAAATGCAGTTATGATTCTGCTGTCTAAAAATGGCATGCATTCAGTCACCCAACTGGGCCTTATTAAGATCAGTTCTTATTACGAACAAATGTATTATGCACAAGTAATCAGAAAACTGCCAATCTTCCATGAGCAACCTTTTAAAATCTTCACATGGTCACGCTGAATGCTTCCTGGGAGGCAAGAAACCCTCTGAAAATGATGCTGGCAAATAGAGATAGGGTCAGCTCCTTTTTCTTAGACAAATTTGATAGCATTTATTAATAAGGCGGCTCTGCATGTCCTAGTGGTTAATGCCATTTTCATTATGGGTCTTTCAAGGCTTTTCTAGCAGGGGCTTTTGTTCTAAATTAAATCATAAATCACTGATTTGACAACCCTGAACTTTCAAAAAGTTATGCTGGAAATCTATCTTTCTATATCTATAGGGGATGTTAAACTGAGAGGTTAATGTGCATAATAACTGGCCATTGTGCTTCTTATAATGATATTACAAAGATATAAATATCTTTAGTTTCCAAATATTTGTAATATTTATGGTATTATCTGTCATATATTTACATTTACAGATGTTACATTTCTCACTACTCCAGAGTGGCTTACAAGTAAAAAAATATAAATCAGATTAAAAACACTCCTAATAATGCAACAAAATAGACATAACAGGGACTATAGCTGTCAACCTTCCCTTTTTTTGCGGGAAATTCCCTTATTCCAGAGCCGTTTCCTGCCGCTGTCCTGGATTGTTAGATACCCCGTAGACTGTCCCCGGGACAGGTGAGGCTGCTGATCCCTTATTTTCGAGGCTGCTGATCCCTTACTTTCAAATCTGAAAGTTGATAGCTATGGCAGGGACGCACAGCAGAACTCAAGAACAAAATCCCTCAGGCTTCTTCAGCTGTTAGGCTTTCTCTCCATATACAACCAGTGGCAGCTGGTGAGGTGGGGGCAGAAGGAAGCTGAAAGCTTCCACAGAGAAGTGGCAGCTTTGGGTTGTGTGCAACTCTGCCATTCGACCTGTGCAACATCTGTCTGCTTGTGCAATGCAATTTCATTGTCTTCCCCAGCAGCCTCCTGTGAACCCTCAAAATCTGCTCCAGGGGGTTGGGGTACCCTCTGAATAAGATTTTGGGGGCATACAAGCAGAAAGTCCCATTGAACAAGCAGAATGCTGCTCATTCAGTACTGGATACAACCCTGAGGAAGGGCATCACTTCCTCACTGGCATGTGCCATCTATGAAGGTAGTGGTGGGCAGAACAGCACCATTCTGCTGCTCCAGTCTTCATGAGAGGCACTCCATCCCTCTTACTTATCCCACACCTGACTGCACAGAGTCTTCAACCAGAGTTTCTGGCAACACTGACGGCTATGCTACTAGATAAATGCTGTCAGACTTATTAACTGTGGGACCTCTGTGGGATTATCTCAGTGCAAGTATCATACATAGAACTGTAGAGATGGAAAGGATCTTAAGGGCCATCTTACCTGCCTGTCAAAGCAGCTTATCTAAATATGACAAGTTTTATGTCAACCCTACCAATGTGTGTCATTGTTTACAATAGTTTTTCAAACAGATTGTAAGGCTTCCCCCATTCTTTATTAAAGTCCTCCTCTTCCTGCTCTTCTTTCAAATAGCTACATGAAGAGATGCAGACATAGAGTAAGTCAGATTCCAGTTAAGCTTTCTGTTGATGCAGCAGCTCTCTTAATGAGGAACCTGAGGAACACCTACCGGTTCTGCTAGCTAGGACAAGTGTTGATATAAACCTGTTCATCTACTTTTACCAGCTGATTCACTTTGAAAATAAGGACTCCACCACTATAAAAGAACCAGATTTCTCATTGGCAATAATGCCCTAGAAATGCTAACTGTCACCCCATTTGCTAATGTCACTTAGCCGTCCCACACATATTTAAGAAAGCAAAGACAATGCACACAAGACAGTATATACATTAAGAAAAGAGTAAGTAACATACTCCATCCAAAGAGAGGACATACGCTCCATCCCAGCGAGTAGAGCCAGACAAAGGCAATGATGATGCACGAGCGTTTCTTTGAAGACCTTTTTATAGACTGCAGAGGCTTAGTAATCACACAGTAGCGATCAACTGAAATAGCTAATAAAGTCATCATTGAAGTTATTCCAAAGAGTGCCCCACAAAAAGCATAAAAGTTACAACCTAAAACAGAAAGAAGAGAGTGCAAGGTTTTCATTTTTGAAATGCAGGGAGGGAGATGGTACAAAACAAAACAATTGTGCATATCTTTTCACAGACTGACATGGTTGCTTATATATTATGATGGTACTGGGGTGGGGACACTGTACTGCCTGGTCCACCTTTCACAGGCGGTTTCATTAAAAAGAAGCAGAAGGGAGGAGGAACTGACTTTAGTGACAAAAAGACAGATATGCTCAGTAACTCTTAAAACAGGGTCAGTTTGTCTATAGCAGCAAATAGATTTCAACAACCTTCTCATGCCACAAAGACAAGTTCCATGAAATAGGGAGAGGTTCATGTGCAAAACAGCATTGGAAAAGTACCTATGTCTCCGAGTATCCATTCTGTGTGCATGCTGTTGAGAAAGCAGATTGGAGCTTGAGTTGCGGACATCAGAAAATCACTTGCCGCTAAATTCATTATGAAATAGTTTGCCGGTGTCCTCAGCCGCTTGTTGCTTAATAAGCATCATCATGGTGCCCCCAAAAAGGTGAAAGAAAGCAAAACAGTGAGTTTATCTTTAATTATAATTCAGTTTATAAAATAAAATAAACCACATTTATTTAGTTTTGCTAAATAAACCCTGTCACCATACTCAAGACTCATTGGATGGGTCCCTTACAGCACTTCAACCTCCCCACACTCACAAATGTCAAGGACTCCAAAATTAGATAGGACCTCTTCAACAACAACCCAGCCAGGGTTGTTGAGCTAACCATACCAGGGAGCTTATCAGCCTAAAAAAAGTTCAGCTGGATTTTCCTCTCCACATGGACAATATTTTCCTACAGTTACTTTATTAGAAGAGAGCTTAATCCACTTGGAGCTATCCAAGGTCCTACTTTGGTTTCAACTTGATCATTGTTTGAAGTGAGCTTCTGACTCACTTGACTTTGCCTGTTTTGACTCCACATGTCTCAACTATCTGGGACATTCATTCATTCATTTATACAGGTATTCTTATACGACCCCTCACTCGAACCGTGTACAATATACTTGCTTACCTTCACAGCCTTAAGCATCCACAGAACAGGACACTGCAGATGCTTCAAACATAGTATCACCTTGACAGTCATAGTACTAAAATGTTGTAACAGCAACTTATTCCACACTTTTATTTCAAACTCAAAGCACCATTAAGGTAGTTTTATACTGGATTCAGCTTAGCAGAATTTTACATATTTATCTATCTTGGGAAATGTTTCTCCCTCCACATATAATGCTTGGGAAATGCTTCTCCCTCCACATATAAAGGTATGTGTGTGACTGGATCATTTCTGCTAACATGGAGATAATACAAGTTGCTTTTCATTGCTTTGATCTCTCTATGCATGAAGAAATGAATGGAAATTGAACCTTTGCCTGAATGTCTATATGTAATGTATACTTACAAAGAAATTGGGGAGGGGGGCATCAACCTGAGTATGTTGTAGGCATGTGTGAATCTACTTTTTGAATCGGAAACATTAGTGCAAAATCGGTAGGTTAAACTATCCCTTGGCGCAACTGTTAAAACCATCCACCATTTATTTGCCATGGGTGCTACAGGTGCATCATTTCACATTAGTATTCCTATGGATCATCTTATGCTCTCATTCACTAAAAAGATAGGAATACTGTCCCCTGGTGGAAAAATTGTCCCTGACTTTCTGAATCCTACCTGCATAGAAAATCACAATACAAGAAAATTTACCAAATAAATTATTTTTATAGACCTGCTCTACAACATTGCATTGCTTTCATACCACATTACATCTTCTCAGCAGGCAGCCTGGGTAGCTCCTGAGCCACATCTTTACAGATGCTGGCATGATATACTACTCTTTGATGTTGTGCTTGTTTTTGACAGACCCTGCAGCGTTAGCAGGCAAAGACAAAACAGAAGGAATCAGAAGGAAAGAGAATGCATTATGAACTCTAGTACTGCTTCTTTAGGTCACTAGGTCAAATCTTTCCTTGTTTAAGCATGACCAAAAGTCATTACTATCTGACTGCTGCTCAGTGATCCATGTGGCATTACTCAGCAGTTTCAGTTCACCTAGAACTCAAAGCCACAGCTGTCAACGTCCACAGAAAGTTCATCAGAATATCAGGGCACAGCGCCTGAACTCCCTGATATCTGGAAGGCAACCTAGTCACAAACAAATTAATGTTCAGAAGGTACATTTGCCCCCATTGCTACCACTTTTGGAACTCAAATTCTAAAATATCCCAAGCGCAAGTCGTCTCTCTCCCACTTAAATAGATATATTTTGTAAATGTGTGATTTGCTGGGAGGAAATGTTGACGAGATTTAAAAGAACGGCACACATGACACGCAGAACAAGGCTGTTGTGCAAAAGAACATCCCATCACCGGCTCAAAATATTGTGACAATTTTAGAACCTAGGAGGTATCACCCTCGATTTCTAGTGATATTTTCACAACAGTCTATCACTGTTTTTATGGTAGCCTTTCATGAAGATTATGTGTGACACTGTGATGTGACACTAGTAAGATGTTAAAATAAAATATGCTTTCATTTTCAGTGGCTGAGCTCAGAGCAATGTTAAAAGATAATGAGCAACTTGTTTCAGCAACAGGAAAACCATTACCTGGACAAAATAAACCAGGGCAAATTCTGACCTCCTATATGGAATCAGAGAAAATGTTTTTAAAATAAGTCATTTCAATCTCTCACAATAGAAAGTCTCAAAACCGAAATTCTTATATGAGTGGTTAACTTGGCCACTGTATTTCTGTTTACCATTGTATATTATTGAGGTGACAAAAACATAATAGAAAGTCGGAATGTGAATTTCATCAAGCATTCCACTATGATATATACAGTCTAAAAATCTTATTCACAGTTATATGTGCCAATACCTACTTGTGTTGGCAGTATTAATGCTAGAACAGATAGGGCTTGCCAGTAATTTGGTATTTTTTAAAAAAAATAAAATAAAGAACATCCTTTTCACAGAGAAGTTGCAATCCTGTGTACCTTCCCTTCTCTGGTATAATGGTGCTTTTCAGGGTGCTAGTTGAAATTCTGCACATCTCCCATTCCTGCCTAGTCATACCTCTCTCATATTCACTTTGTTGCTTTCTGGTGCCTGTTGGCTATATTTCCAAGCAGGCTTTTGAACCAGCCTCTTGTTTTCTCACCATCCCTTTGAATACAGCACCACTGCTTTAATCATCAAACAGTAGTCAGCAGGGATATACCCTGAGATATACCCTGATCCTGAATGTTCAACTTGCAGGTAGGTATAAGAGCCGTATCTCCCTGCATGTGGAGGGGAGACCAGAGGCACATGGGTACCTCAACAGCCCTTCAGGTTGTTGATTTTCCCCTTTCATTTAAAGAGTACAAAAAAACCCCTATTCAAACTTATCCCCAGCCTGAGAAAACCATACCTGTAAAATGCATAGAGGACAAGGAGATTTCCTGTGATTCCAATAGAACCAATGACAAGAACACAGGAGCCTACAGTGTAAAGAACACGATCAGGAACATCTACTTTTATTCGGTGCTGAGTTCCCATATTCTGTGTCTGAAAGAGGGAGAGGGGGAAGGAACAGAAGAGGAAACAAAATGTCACCCCAATCCATGTGTTTTCATTGAAATGATTAAAACATGCCATGTAACATTACTTACCACAGATAACTGTAGTATTTTAGTCAATCAAATATTTATAGCTTTTAAAAAACCATGGAAAGGAGAGTTTACAACAGAAAAGCTGACAAATGTTATTCTCATATAAGCACACTTCAATAATCCCTTGGAATGGATATGTAACAATGGGTGCTAGTCTGGACTTTTTACATGGCTTATTTCTATGGATTATGATATCAGTGCAGCTGGTGTGAGATACAGGCAACACGCAACTTAAGGACCCCTGGATAGTTAAGTCCAGTCAAAGGCGACTATGGGGTGTGGCGCTCATCTAGCTTTTCAGGCTGAGGGAGCCAGTGTTTGTCCAGAGCACACAGAAACTGTCAGTATATGGAAACATCACCGCTGCAGACAGCCAGATTGTTGACATCACATGATGCGCCTATCTGTGGGAAAGAAGAATTTCCCCGGACGTTCACAGGCTGGATAAGTCTTTGTGAAGAGTGTAATTTGAAACTTTCCGTTTGCGCATGTTCAGGAAGTTTGTCAGACGTGCTAGAAGAACTGAACTGAAAGGACGTGTTTTTCTCTAGTGCTGTAATGTCAGAAATAAACATCATGTAAATAGATTTCTGACTTATTTTCTTTCCCCTGCGGAAGCAGGAGGGAGGGGTTGTGCATTTTACCCACTCTTGGGAAAATGTCGCCTATCAAAATCTCCCTGGTCTGTCTGGATGTCAGCCAGAGGAGGTTACCGGTATGCAAGCTCTGAGGACAGTGAGAGGGGCCAGCCTCTGTGGAGGGGGCTTGCAAACCAACAGAAACGCCAGTGACCTTCCCTCCTATTTATGGTACCTATTTATCTACAGTACTTCCACTGGTATGCTTTCGAACTGCTAGGTTGGCAGAAGCTGGGACAGAGCAATGGGAGCTCACGTGGACTCGAACTGCCAACCTTCTGAGGCTCAGTGGTTTAGACCACAGCGCCACCCGTATCCCTACTGTCAACTTACAAAGTCATGTAAAGCCAAAAAACATTGGGTTCAATAGCAGGTGGGATTGCCAAGCTTTTCCCCACTCCGATCACCCACCCCCTTTCCCCTTTTTGCCAAGCACATAAAGCTAAATGCACACAAGTTAAATGTGTCTAAGTGTAACAACATCCATGGTAAGACGTATCCCAAATCAAATAACTGTGTGTGTGTGGGGGGGGTCTCCTTATTTAGACATTATTTTCCATATGCAATGGCATATGGCAGCTTTCTCCAGCCTGATGGCCTCCAGATGCCTGGACCCCCACCAGCTCCATCCAACATGGCCAATGTTCAGGGTTGATGGGAAGACACCAGGTATCGGAGACACCAGACTGGAACATGGGAGGAGAGGTGTGGAAATGGGTCAGGAGGAAGCTTGCAACCCATCTTTCTGGAGAGCATCTTGCGTACCTAGCTATACAGAGTGAATAAGACCAAACTAACCTGTTATTTGGTGAACATATCAGAGGTAAGATAAAAAGTGATGACACCCACTGTCTCAAATAAAAGAAAATACTGTAATAAGTGAAGTATTCCACAAATATATGAAAATTATGTGTAATTAATCAGCTGGGAACTAAAAACTGGTGCAAACTCTTTGTTGTTGTTTTTAGCTGTAGTAGAACCTGAACATATTTACATCGTTGAACCCAAATTGGGGAAAAAAGAATAAATAATGATGTGGAATAAGGACAGGACTAGCTAACTAAATAATGATGTTGTTGTAGTATACTTGCTAGCTTCAAACAGAATACCGACCACACAAAAACCCAGTATCTGGATAAAGCTATGTTTGAATAAGATAGTTTTATGGCTCATCTGGACTTCTGTAGTCAGAGCTCTAAATGGGCTGGAAAACAACAAGCAAGAAAGTCTACTCGTTTCCAGAATTCTACTCTGTTGGAATTCCCTGCCTATTGCGAAGATGAAAAGCTCGGTAGAGAAATGAGGTAAGAACTCTGGTGTGCCTCTGCCATGCCATAATGACCACTCCATCTCTGTAACTGTTAATGTTGGTGACAAAACCTTTTATTTCTATTCTCTGACCTAAAGGCCGGAATAGCTATAGTTGTTTTGCCAAAGAATTAGGCACATTAACTTATTTCAACTTACTTTGCAATTCACATTCCTAACATGAACTATGCTTACTTTCCCCCATGTAAGCTGAACTAGTTAAGGTGTGCCAAACTAAATACTAAACCCTTCTTGGTCGAACCAGAACCAAATTAAGACAACTTTAGGATAACTATGCAGCACATGCTCATGCAGCCAATTGTACCATCTCTTTTTTAAAAATAATCACACACGCCTGAAGAGTCTGTATCTTCCTTTCTATAAGCACCTAGAGCACTGCACAAAAATGCTGGTGGTAAGAGTTGAGGAATCCATGTATTTTCCCATTCAGAGCTGCCTGAAATATGAAGCTTAAAGGGGTGTGGGAGCCAAAATATAACACAGAGGTGCTAAAACCTCTACTTTATGTTACAATCGTTGTAATGCATTCATGGCTAAAAACCTTTTGTCAGCGGACTGCTTGCATGCCAGAAAGCTTTACACACTCTAATTTGTCAAAGAATGATTTAAAAGAAGAAGAAGAGGAAGACTAGATTGCTGGCTGCTACATCAATCAAAACATCATGTAAAAACATTTAGATGGAATTGCCACCTTCAAGTTTCAATGCCACAAATGGAAAACTCTTCAGTCATATAATATATATAAAATCTCAGCGGAGAACACCTTTTTGAGGCAAATTGCTATTCTTTTCCTCAGGGTCTCTTTCTAGCAAGCAAAGCTGTTGCACGGAAAGAACAGGGAGTTTCAGAGTGACCAGTGGAATAGCAGATATAGAAAGCAAAACAACCACTTCCAAGATGCTTTTCTCACTGAGACATAAAACGTAAAGGTCATACTGGAATAGCTCAGTTGGTAGAGCACGAGACTCTTAATCTCAGGGACATGGATTCGAGCCCCATGTTGGGCAAAAAAAATTATGCATTGCAGGAGGTTGGACTAGATTACCTTTGTGTTCCCTTCCAATTCTATGAATCTATGATATCTCAAGGATAAAAGCATGGAACAGAGTGAGTTGACAAGTGGCTGAGAAGGAGAGGGTTAAATCACAGAATTCTCTTACTATCTCTCCCTGTTTGCAAAGAATCATAGAATTTGGTCCATATGGTTATAATAATATAGGGGGGTATTGTTTTCATTTCTTATTGTGTTATGTATTTTTGTGTTTTTATATTGTAAACTGCCCTGTGATGTTTGGATGAAGGGCAATATAGAAATTAAATGAATGAATGATGTAATTCCATCCCTAGGACCTCTAATTCGTGTAAGGCACAATTAATTGCTTTTTGAGGCAATTGGCTCTTGTTTATACTAACAAAACTGGAAAACGCTAACTTTTAAAGACCACCATGAAAAAGCTATGGTTGGCAATTTATGTCAGATGTAAGTGCTAAAAACCAAGAAGTATTTATCCCCAATACATATATTTACAAGATACCCTGGTTCATGAATTTATTTTATTGGAGTGCAACAGTAGCTGCCTAATCCAGTATCACAAATGCACAAATAGGGTTGCTATATTTCAAAAAGTTAAAAACCAGGACACCCCGAAAGCTGTTGAAGATGCAAAGAAAAGGCACTTCCAGTAAAAGCCCTACACATACATATTTCTGCCAGAACATGCTGGGAATTCAGTGATGTATGCTGCTGTTTCATAGCAAGATTAGCACAGATGCACAGGCACGCACTTCCCACACCCATATAACTTTAAAAGAGTAGCACAATAGAGCAACGGAAATAGAAGAATCAAACATTCTGCTACCATACGATTTCAGTAGTGGATTGCGGAGATCAGGAGTTACTACAGCATTACTCGCTTGTGGAAACAACTCAGAGGCCATGAAAGAAGGCAGGTTAACAACAGGAAGATTTAAAGGAACTATTGGAAAGACTATTCAAGGCAGCAGAGATATGAGATGATCAGAGCCCCCCCCCCCCCCGAACTTGAAGCATGGAAAGTCCCAACAAAAATTTATAATTTAGGCAGAATATTTGGACTATTTGATATGTATTTTTATAATTTGGAACATTCAATGTGATTGGATTGGATTGGATTGTTAAAATGGGAAACTTAATAAAAATGATTTTTTTAAAAAGGAGTTACCACAGCATTACTATAGTAACTCATTTTACCACACAAACACACCCATAGACTATTATAATGTTTTTAAGCAGAAACATGTCTTATTGCTGTGGCTCTTAATAATGCAACAAACAAGCAACACCCTTTGTTTTATAGCGCTTGGTTTTTAATGTATAAAACATTAGTTAAGAATGTAAGGAGAGCCTTGAATCAACCCAAAGGCCCATCTACTTAGCAGCGTCTTCTCAGAACATCCAATCAGATGCCCATGAAAAGCCCACAAGCAGGACCTGAATGGAAAAGTCATTGAGACCAGTAGTCATTAATAGCCTTATCCTTCATAATTTGTCTAATCCTATTTTAAAGCCATCCAGGTTGATGACCATCACTTCTCCAGAAACAATCACCTGATGCCTACATTATGGGCTTTTTGGCGTCAGGTGAAGACTTTCTTCTAGTCATTTTAATTAAATGATTTAGTGCAGTAAGATATGGGCCCTAAATAACTTCCCAGTTTTTATCCTGATATTGCGCTGGTCTGTTTTTATGCCTTTTGTGCTGTTTTTGTATGCTATTCTGATGCTTGGGTTGCATTTATATATTTTACGGTTTTTTTGCAAACTGCCCAAAGAGTGTGGTTGATGGAAATGCAATGAAATAAAATAAATACTTTTTAAAAATTATTTTATTTCAGCTGCCTCGGACTTGGGAAAGGAGGGAACAAAACAACAACCACAACAACAAAAGCTTCAGTGAGTTAACTGGTAAATTTCAATTACCAACCTGTTCAAGGAGAATAACGATGCTGCACAAGATCACACAGAGACAATGGCTGCAAAGCATTATCTCTATTTTGAGACAAGCAACTGATATAACTGTAATTAACAAATGATACCAATTAATACTGCATTTCAGCTTAGCAGGGCACGAACAGAACAGCTCAATTTATACAACCAACATCACCCAGCAGTAACCCCAGGATCCCTCAGATATTGATGCGCATGAATCAATGTGTGAGGTTCTTTCTGAATTCAGCTGTTTTGTATTTAATAGAACATGACAGCTATAAATGTGGTTCGCATCAAAGCATCACGGTGCACAGAGCTGATCAATACAAATAAAAGAAGGCACCTACTGATGTTATTGTTTTCCTGTTTGTTGAGTTCTTCCTCTTTAACACACTTTTTTATTTAGGAACTCAGGAAAGGGGTTACACACACACACACACACTTTAGGTTGTGCAACAAAATGTTGTCATGCATATACTTTGAGTGCTGTTGTTCAGGGCTCTAAGACACTGTTCAGGGGAAGATCTTGCAAGGGGCTTGATGCAGAGAAGAAAGGATGGACCACTGCAACACACTCAGTTCTCCTGAAAATGGACCCTAGGGTTCCCTAGCCCTGTTATCAATGTGAAACCCATTATCAGCACTGTATCTGTTTAGTGGAAGGATGGGACGTAACTTTTCTAAATACACAAGAAACTGAAGTACCATCTAACCAATGCTGTTCCCCTTTCCCCCTCTTGCACAGCTTCCTCCCAATTTTCCTAGCTCAGGAGCTGTCCTTGCACAGCAACTGAATTGACAGAACAGGAACATACGACTCATCTGAAATATCAAACAGCCCCACTTGATGCACTAAATCATCATCATCATCATCATCATCATGTCAGAATGATGGTTTAAAACAGCCATCAAAATCCCAACTCTCACTTTAAAAAAAATACCACTTCTGGAGCCCCACAAATGCAGGTTACTGCACATGTGACAGTAAAATGATTTATTTTATTACCTTATTTCTGACAGCTTGTCAAAGTGTATTGTTTTTACCACTCTTCAGATCAGAGATAAGTTAGAATTGTATTTTTTTAAAAAAAAAAATTAGGGTAATAATTTCAGAGTAAAACTGGGGCAACCCAGTCAGATGGGCGGAGTACAAATAATAAATTATTATTATAATCCAATGAGCCAATGAGAACTTTGCTGATAAATTTCCAGAAACTAAGCTGCATATTCAATCAAACACCTTAGAAGCATGTGAGTTTTGAAGCTTGGTTTCCTGCAATGTGCTAATTTACATGCCTTAGACTAACATACTCAGTAATGAATAATGAGCTTTTATGGAAAAACCTTCTACGTCTTCCACATCCAGTATGGCCCACCTGCCATTTTCAGGACAAAGATCCTCTCCCATTGTTTTATGAGAGCTGGATGTTTGCATCAGTAGGCCTGTTTTCCATGATGAAGGAGTGGACAAGGAGAGGAAAGGAGGGAGAGAATGATATTGCTGCATTGGGAATAACCTTTTAAAAAACGGAACAGTCATGTGCTCAGTGATGAAGTAGACAATACTTTGGAGGGAAGAGGGTTCATGAAGCCAACGCTCTGTATTAAATCAGTTTCAAATCTAACAACAATTTATGAGGAACAACTGGACCGTAATGGATCACTAGGGGATGCAGGACTAGAACTTTTCCCTCTCACTTCTAAATAGTGGGCTGCAGTAGGTAACTGCAGTCTGCAGGACAGCTTCTGCAGAAAATTCCAATGAGATCAGAAGCCTGCTGCACAGTATCATAGAGCAGGGCTTTTGATGTGGCTGCATCTGTTTTTCCCTTTTATAACATTTCGTGTGCCTGAGCAGCTTATGGCCACACTGTTGGCCCTTAATTCTACCAGCCAAATGCCAGGGCTGAATCAAAATATTGTGCCACAGAAGCACAGCCCAAATGCCCCCAGTCTAGTAGACCAACATTTTTAAAAATAAAGGATCATAGAATTGTAAAGTTGGAAGGGACCATGAAGACCATTTAGCCCAACAATGCAAGAATATTTGCCCAACACGGGGTTCAAACCCACAACCCTGAGATTACGAGTGTCCATTTGCTTTACCAACTAAGCTATTCCAGCATTTGATGTACCATTCAGACACCATTTCCTGCCTTCTGTGATCTTCCAATTCTCATGGTGCCACCCAAATTAATCACTTCAGCCAGCTTCATGTTAGGGTCAGCTCTGCCAAAAGCTGATTATGCTTAAGTTTGAATGGCATTATTTCACTAAATGGCAGCAATCAAAGAAAAACATCCAACACTTAATATTTTCACCATCTTTGAAGAATATTTAACATTTTCTGGCATACATTAGTGCATGTAGGTTACTTAACATCTACTGAAGATTAATTGTAGCAGAAGGTATGTTTATAGTTTGTGCATCAGATGATGACCTTAATAATACAGAAGTACTTTGTGGAAGTGCTATCTAGAGCCAACAATAAATTTCACTTATGAGTTTCCATGGCATTTGGAAAGGTCTGCCATTTAAACATTTATTGCCCAATTCCTGTCAATCAGGTATTCAACAGAACTTGAGTATTCATGAATTTTTATGAGCATGAAGCTAAAGTATATTGAGTTCAGCAAAATGAACTCTAACAGGGTCAGTTGTTTTTCACCTGTTTGTCCTTCAAAGCATGGTCTAGGTATACAGAGTTAACATTAAGACTTGACAAAGTTCACACATACGGCATTTCTTTTCAGAATTAGAATATACTGAAATCTAAGCTCATGAAGTAGATCACATACAGAAAGTAGAAGTACCGTATTTTTCCATGTATAAGACAATATTTTTTCCTTTAAAATAGTAGGCAAAAATTGTGGGTCATCTTATACACGGATAGCAGAGGGGTGACGAGTGATTGGTGGCAGCAGCAAGCAGATTGGCAGCGGCAATTGGGCGTGTGATCGGTCACTGCGATAAGGCCTGTTGACGATTGGCTGCAGCAATTGGGTGTGCGATTTATGTCAGTGGTGAGGTGTGCATGCAATCAGCTGTCGTCGCTTTGAATGGGCAGGTGGGGTTTTGGCGGCGATCATTTGTACGATTGGTGGCCGTGGCGATGAGTGCAATTTGCATTGGCAGGCAGGCTGTAGAGCAATTTGTGGTGGTGACCCCCCCCCAAAAAGCTAAACAGCTCTGGGAAATCTCCCCCCCAAAAAAACTCAAAAAAAAATGTTGCAGTCCAAAACAATAGGGGTTGTCTTATACATTGGGATGTATAAATCCCAGCAAAATACACTATTTTACTACTCAGCCATAAACATGCTTATCTAGAAGTTGCAAAGAGTGTATCTTAAATGTTCTGTCCAGAATGTTTAGTTTGAAGTTGCAATTGTAAGAACCTGATCCTACCGTTTAGAGTGCAAATTTAAATTAAATACAGGAACACTTGAACCAATGCAAAATAATAAGTGGTGGCATTGCATGCATGCAAATTCAACTGTGCTGATGTGGCTGCACCATGCACAGCCCTACTTGAGTCAAATGTAGGTCAAGAAGAGAGAAGCACAGGGGTTAAGCAGGCGAACAGTAACATAACCCCTTTTCTATCCCTGTCAACAGCTGGGGAGAGCTGGCTTGGTGCCTGATTTGGCTAGCCAAAGCCCTACAGGCAGCACAACAAAGTCCTTGAAGCCTGACTAAAGCCAAGTAGAGATGAATAGGTGGTGGCAGATGGCTGTGACCCAGAGCCAGAGCTCCACAGAGATGGCAATATTTTTCCAGGAAGCCCACCACCAAAGGAAATTTGGTAGCAACAGCAGGTAATCAGCAGTTCTGTGGAGGGTTCCCAGGCAGCAGACAACTTGTTCCAGAGCAACAAGGAACCATTCAAGCCCCTTAAATTCATTCATGAATGGATCTCAGTACTCCAGCCTAATGCCAAGCACTTCTTTGCTATTCTGCACTTAATCTGTAGGTCTACTGATATGCCTGGGAAGAAAGAACAGGTGAACAAGAGATCTTGACAAAAGGCAAAGCGACTTCTTGTAAAACTCAGGCTGTCTTGACTGCTGGTTCCTGGTAGACAGGCTCTTCACAAAGGATTCCATCTGCTTATCCCTAAATTAGTTTTCATCCTCCTTGCAAGCACATGACCTCTTCAGTTCCGTGTCCAAGGCTGGTTGTGAGTTTAGAACGTGCCTTGAGATTGTCGTTGTTGTAGCTTGGTAGTTGCTCATGACACAAAAAATGACTCTAGGTCACAACATATTTAAGAGCATAAACAAAAATACATTATAATAAAATTGCATTTACATAAGAACACATGCAATTCATAAATTGATAAATGGTATATAATCCTGTTACGTAGTCAATGAATAGTAGGCATATCAAAGGTCTCATGCAGCATGGAGCGTATAATGAGAAATGAGGATTTATTCTCTGCGATGGTTCTATTTGTAAACAGCAGGCAAAACAATTAGGGGAACAGGCCCACGATTGTGACAATCTCTTCCAAAAAAAGCATGGATTTGCAAACTACACTGCAAAACAGAAAATCTACTCAGCCCCCAGCTTTTCCCATAATGCAATTACCACAGCATGTGAATAAAAATAACTCTGAATTCTAAACTGGAAGTTGAAGGAAGAGGAAAGGGCGAAGGCGAGTGAAGGCAGAATTTTGCATGCTCATTGCAAATATTTGCAAGGCGTCTATTTGAGAAAGATGCTGGGACTCCCTCTATATGGTGCTTGCATCGACACAATTACATTTGTTATAAGAGGTACAAATTCATAACCATGATTTTCTTAACTTCTAACTGTTCTCCCACCAAAGCCTCAGAAGGATTTTGGCTGCAATTTTATACTTGGGGAGCCTCACTGGATTTGGTGACTGTTTGGTGGTAATCATACATACGATCAGGTTGTTTTATTATGCCAGTGTGCAGATGTTTGTGCATGTCCAAATTAAAGCTTAGCCAGTGACAATTTGGAGTTCCTTCTCTCTCTTTTTGCACCTATACCCAGACAAATTCTTATTCCATTTGACACCTTACTGGTGTTCATCTTGCTTTTCTTTACAGTGTTTTATGTGTGTAGTAGCTGTCTTTAATGCCTCTTTAGCAGTCATTTCAAATCTTTGATTCACACATCCCTCATCATCTTCTTTGCACTCTCTCTGTAGTACAGCTTCAACTGAGTTAAGAAAGCAGTGTTTAAAGGCACTGGATTGCATTAGGTATGTGGCTTGTTACTTTACACAGCTGTTTAATGAATGCTCTGGGTAAAAGGTATGACAAAACCATAGTGGATTGCCCAGAAGCGAGAGAGAATTGAGGGGGAGAGGCTGAAAATGAAATATAGCTGTCAAGAAAGAACATTTGAAAATGTCTTCTATGTTCAAAATGCAAAGGATCAATCAGGGGATAAAATAATGTTATGACAGGTGCAGAGATAGCCAGGAACACCTCCTACCCACTATGCATAATCATTTCTATGTTGTGAGGTCCCTACATTCTTCATTTACGTACATTTGTAGTGTCTTAAACACATTCTGAAATCCACTTGGATTTCAAAAACGAGCATGTCCTGTAAAGTGGGCTGAGAATGTTTCAGTGTATTATGCTAGTACTTCAACATCTGCACTGACTCTCTGTCCTCCTCTGGGCAACATCCAGGGTATGAGTTTTAATCCCTAAAAGGATAAAGCTCAACCAGGACTGTCCCAAGATATCTTGGCACCTGTGGCGAACCACAAAATGGTACCCCTTTGCTCCCTGCACCAGGGAAGATGGGGTAAGTGAAGATCTACATCAGAAACAAGGTGGGGAATAAAGATCTGCATTGGGATCTGCTGTCGTGTGGATCTTGATCCCTGAGGTGGTCATCTCACCTTGCCTCATGGGTGGGCTCAACACACCTTAGATCAGGGATACACAACTCATGACCCTCCAGAAGTTGCTGGACTACAACTCCCATCATTCCTGACCACTGGTCACACTGCCTAGAGCTGATGGGAGTTGCAGCGCAGCAATATCTTAAAGGCCACAGGTTCCCCACTTCTACTTTAAGGTTCCCCATCTGTGCCTTAGGCACTGTCTTGTCCCAAACACTTTGTTTCAAGATTTGCTGAGGGTACCTTCTTGATGACACTAATGTTAACTATTGCTAAGCACTACAGGAATGAGCGTGGACACAATGATTTGCTCAAGAAAGCCAACATCAAACCATCAGTTATGTTCATTAACCATGGTTCATACTCATTAAGAAATCCAAAGCTTTAACTAACCAGTGTTCTCCTAAGTTTGGATATAATGACCAAGTTTGCACACAATACAAAACTGTTTAGCAAAACAAAAATGAGCTACAAGGCGTTTTTGGCTCATATTCTTCATTTTCCCCTAGTCCAGTGCAGCTACAAAGAAGTATGAAGCTTTTACTTCTCTTTCAGCATTATTCCTGAACCCTAAATTGTATTAACTAGTTTATCATAACTATGTTTAGTGAAAATAAGCTAGCTCACCATAGACAAACTACAATTTGAGAAAGCCCAGACATCACAAGATGCAGTTAATATAAAAAAAGAAGCACAAGTTCACTATAGCTTGTCCTTTTAATACTAACCATGGTTCAGCCTTACATACAAACATAGCCATTGACAAATTCTAGCTTCTAGGGCAGAATTGGATACATTCAGACTCCTTGTACCTGCACTTGAGGAAGAAGTCAGAGACTGCAGGACTGACAAGAGTTTTACACATACTGCTAACCCATGGTTTGAAACTACATACAAAATAGGCCATTGTGTTATGTGCAGAAATCCACACTATTTTTGGTTCTTGGCCAATATCAACAACAGAAAAACTGCAACATAATTATTTAGAGCTTAAGAACTAAAATAAGCCTGCAGACGTCTGAAAGTTTTTAATCTGATAATCAAAGAGCGGTTTATATTTCTGCTCCATTTGTATTTAGCTTTGGAAACTCTGCTATCTCTGGAGACAGAAGCAATCTTTGAAGCAAGTTTGCAGTTGCTTTCCATTGAGCCTATATTTCCATTAGATCAAAGCTGGGGGAAAAGAGCTAGATAAAGCTTTGTACTGGCCACTGTTTGTTTAATAATAAAATAGATTAAAAAAAACTAAAGTGTTGCATGCAGGGTCATAGATAAATGTCAAAGGAAGTGTTGTACAATACTGGGGGGGGGGGAGAGAATAAGTTAAAGTGCTAAAATTTGATAGGACACTGGTTCAGGCACGGGGTGATAATCTGAGGTGGGGGAGTACCTCATTGATACACCACATGAAAAAGGCCCCAGATCCAATCCCTGGAGTTTCCACTTAGGGCTGGGAAAGACTTCTGTCTGAAACAGGAAGTCTGAGCAAGACAGTGTAGATAATACCAAATTTACCACTGGTCTAACTAATGATGTGACCAGGGTTTGATTTAACTCAGTCTAGCCCAACATAATTCCACAAGGTATATCTGGCTTAGTTTCCCGTAGTCTTGTCTGTAAATAACATGTAGCCCATAACATACCTAGAAGTTTCACTAACTTCAGTGCATATGATTTAAGTAAGGCAAATGGTTCAAATCTGAGCCAGTACAAGTGTCATAGCTCACTCCAAACAGCGGTATAGGAAGGGGGGCGGTGAGGGCAGCTCACCCCAGGTGTCATCTCTGAGAGAGGGTGACAAAATCCCCCCTGGGTAGATCGCCGCACACACCCCCTGGGCGCCAATCACTGTGCTGATTGCCCCCAAGGGGCACCCATCGCTACGCCGATCACCCCCCTGGGTGGCTTGCCCTGCCCTCCGGGTGCACAGCATGTGCGCCGCTCCAGGTGCCAGAGCGGCTAGCTCCGCCACTGACTCCAAAGAACTGTAAGAACAGCAAATACAGTGGGATTTGCTGGCCATTGTCCAGTTGTTTCTCTTCAGAAATTGTAATAAACCCTAACAGAAAAGCCTTCATTCATCCTGATCTACAACCCGGGTGAAATATACTCAGAGTCGCAAAGTGATTTCATGCTCTTTATGCAGCTCATAGTGGTGAGGAGGAATGAATGAATGTCCCCTCAAAGTATCTGCTTTATATACATTATTTACACAATGGGCTGCACATGATTGGCTAATTCTGGAATTCTACTGTAAGCCAATCAGGTTGTGGATTCACTTATATCTGGAGCATGATTGGGTGGTTCCTGCCAACCAATCATACTGCTGCATTGTTCTAGGACCAATCAGACTGCTGCAATTTGGATCCTATTGTTCTAGGACCAATCAGACTGCTGCAGTTTGGATCCTATTCAACTCAGTACACCGGGTAACTCATAACACCGGGTAAAGTAATATCATCCCTTTGCACTAATGCTATCAATGGGACAACATAAGCTTAAATCCAATTACTTTGGCTTAACTAATATAAACTACTCACTGCAAATTACAAGTTAAATTCAAAAGATCTCCTAAGCCATGGTTTAGGTTACGGCAAACAAGCAAAGAATTCCACTTAATAAAAAAATGGTTTGATACCCAGATTTGTTAACGGACTAGAGTTAGAACAAAACACAGTTCTAAGTGTGTATGTTACATGAAACTATAGTTCACTCTCACACACAAATGATGAAGTGAGAAGAAATGTTGGAAACCCAAGATTTGGGCTTATTCATGATAATTAAACCATGGTTTCTTGGGGTTGCAGGAAAATACAGGCCCCTAAACTGAAGTTATTCTAGAAATGTGTCATTTCCCCATCTACATTCCTATCTGCCAAATATTATCAGCAAGGTTTGGGTCACAAACCAATCCATGTGACTATTCCCAAGGTTAATATAGCTGCTTCTTGTATGTGAACCTCAGGATAAAAATAGTAGAGGTCAGAAACCGAACCAAATAAACAGACAAGTACAAAAGGGGCAACATGTCTTTTGTACAAAAACTTTGCAATAAGGGCATAATACTTTAAAGCAACCTCTGCAAACATTCTTTGACTCAATATGCAGAATTTAGCCTTTCAAACATCCATAGCAGTGTGCCAAGTGTTTAAAACCTTCTTTTTTTCTTTTTCTTTTTGAAGTTCAATTAGGCAACAAACATAGAAAGTTTGTCAAACCTCTGCTGGGTTGCCATACATGACTCGTGGGTTGTGTTTGACTACATAGATCACAAGTTGTTCTTGACTATTGAGATTCATTCTGTAAGACAATAAAAATCCTCCTGACTCTTCTGAGCACCAGGAAGGAATGATCCCTGCCCCCTACTTTCATATTAAGGTAGATACAGAGTTCAGTATAAGAAACTAAGAGCTAATGTTTGCATGAAAAAATTCTGTGATTCTATTAGAGAGAAGGTGCAACTCCATCATCATAACTCTATAGTGAAAGCACAGGAACTGGATACATAAATTTAAACAAGGCAATGAAGCATGTTAGACTAGGGCACACTGATTCTGCACAAGCGCAATGGCACAAACTACACAGTTGTATGGCATTGTAAAAATGTTATTCCAGTGCTGTAGGCAGATTGAGCTAGGAGACAAATATTTACTATTAGGACCAGATAACTGAGCAATGTCTGCTTATATTAATTAGTACTTAAGACACGCATATTATTGTTTTGTTCTTATTCAAACTTGTCAATAGTAAACTGTGACTGCATGAGCTATAGGATTTTTTTTCCACTCTTGTTTTCCATTATATCTGAGTAAAAATGCCGGAAAAAAAAAAATCATCATACTGTAAAGTTGTAATGGCAAGTTGTTGACTACATGCTTTGAACTGCACTACTTAGCAGCCAACTCTTAATGATGCCTAACAAGCATGTCTGGCTGGAGAATGACAGCTTTTCTAAGAATCCAGAGGGAGCCTAAGTATTTTAAGCACTGTCTGATTGTACTGCTGGCAGTTTTCGCACAGCTTTCCCTCACCTGTTGTCCTTAAATTTAACAAGGATTATTACCAACATCCATTTGTGAACAGACCACAGTGATGCTTCTAAAAGTAGAATGTATTGTAGCTGATCAGTTTTTGCCATTTTAGTTTCACAGATAAAATCATAGCTCTCTTATTTAATTAAATGGCAAACTTCCCACCATGCTCATTCTGTCAGAACCACAATTCCAGCAGTCTTATCTTCTGATATGTAAAGATTTCCTTTTCTATTATCTTTGAATGGGAGTAGAACTAAGACCAATTAATCATACTGGTAAGATTTAAGAGAATTACCACCACCCAACCCTGGTATGCTTAAAGTTTTCCAAGGGACTGAATAATTTATTTTTTCTCTTTACCAGCAACAATAGAAGATTTTTAAAGCTGTACAGAATAAGTTTATTTTGCAACAAGCTAAGATAACATGAAATTCTGGACTAGTCCATCTACAGAAGTCTTGCGAGCAAACAATATTTTTAATGTTAAAAAGAAACAGATAATTTTGGAGTGCTATTGTATGAAGACATGTCAGTTAAACTATCAGGGGCTCCTTCATACGCAAATGCTCTTCATCCCTTCTCCAGAGCTATAAGAATAGGCCACAAATGTATATGGGATGAATACAAATGTATACAGCTAGATTAAAACACCTTCTTACTTTGGTGCAGGAAACTAGCAATGATTCTTATACCAGGACAGCAGCAACCAATAGCCTCAGTATGCCACCTGCCCAAGAAAGCCTCTGCACAGGGCAATTGCCTTGGACAAGTGTCTTTTTAGGATCATATACTAAAGGGGAGCTAGAGCTCAGTTCTCCGAACACTGCTCCTAATTAGCCAATCTGGCATCACTCAAGCACAAATAAATATATTAGCAGGTGTGGGGGAGGGCATGCAGGAGTGCAAAAGTTGCAATCAAAGGAAATAAAATATTATATAATATCAGTGTATATTACTTCTTCAAGGCTTCCAGATCTCAAGGCACGATGCTGGTGATTCCTGTTTTAAATTATTACATATGTTGCTGTTCCACCAAACACCATGAAATGCACCATGTGTTGCAGTACCTTTTAGCACTCACAGGTGGCATGTATTCCCCCTCCCCTGAAATGATTCAAGTTCCAAATATTTTTAAGCTAAAGAAAAAGATTCAGGTCAGAACTGACAACCTTGCTATGGTTAACAAAGAAGCCAATACATCCCTAAACTGAGCATCCATATATCTTCAAACACAGGCAGAAGTGGTAAATGCAGTTTAACCTGTATATGGTCTCTTGTTATACTAAAGATTTCCTGGAATACTGCAGACCAAAGATTCTGCACTGGAGGACACCCCCACCACAGGTGGAAATAGGTACCCCAGCCACCACAGACATGTCAATATTCTGGAGCTAGTTTGGAAGTAACACGAAATATTTTGACCAAGGTCATACACCACCCGTGACAAACCTTATGTGCATTTTCTCTTATATAAGCAGAGAGTGATCTTGATGGTCCATAGACCTTGCCAACTCAGTCCTAGCCTGTCTCCTAAACAGCCTTTAAACAAACAAAATCTTCAGGGGGAAACAGTATGAGTTTTGCTACCACAAGACATGGTGATAGCTGCTGATTTAGATAGATTTACAGGGGGAATTAGACATATTGATGGAGGGTGCCTATCAACCTCTATTAGCCATGATAAGTAAATGGAAGCTCCAACTTCAGAGGCAGTGTAGACAGGACAGTGTGGAGTTGTTGCCTTCAAACCCTGTAGGTTTCCTGGAAGTAACTGGATGACTGGAACAGGATACTGGACTAGACGAACCCTGAGTATGAACCAGGAGGATTCTTCTTGTGTTCTTTGGTTCTTCAAGCGTGGGACAAAACAATGGCAACTGTTTTAACCTGCCAGTGGTTACCCTTGCCCGGAGTATAAAAGAAATCAAAGTAAAGGTTAAGAGAAGGAACAGAGCCTGGTGAACCTAGGAAAGTATAAAATGTGAAGGGATAAAGCCCAAAGGAAACAAAACCTTATGAAGAAAAGGAACATTTCAACACTGATTCCCAGCACAAATAATTCACACAAAGCATAGGGGTACAGACTCCTGTGATGAGCAGAATGGAAAGGTCTTCCAGCCCATTCAATGAACACAATGGGGTGGAAATTAACCACTTGTCTGCGGCTCTCAATGGAGGCTCACTTGGCACTTTGGGCCTTTTCATATGTTGCTATTTATTTTAGGTACGTGTTTTTGAAATTCAAATATGACATCAGAGAGCTGGCTCCTTGGAGAGTCCACAGAATAAACCTAGATTTGTTCTGGCAGGGTAATTTATGAAATAGAGAAATTTTGCTCTAAGTCATGCATAAAGCAACATCCATCTCTCTTCTTTTAAAAACAAACTTGAAAGCATGTAAGAAAAATTCTTGTGACAGGACAGAGTATAAATCTAAAGACATATTCTTATTTAGAGTGCCTATTTAAACACACAGTCTACATTATTATTATTATTATTATTATTATTACCACGAATACTACTACTACCACCACCCACTCTTCATGAGAAGGTTCCAGGGTGGGTTAGAACAACATAAAATACAGCATTAAAATAGTTTAAATCAAATGAACATAGCTGCAGCCTTGCTGGTAAAACTATTTATTTATTTATAAAAGTATCTAAACCCCACCATTTCATAAAATGTCAAAGCAATGTGCAACAATATGTATGCAATACAAATTAAAACACCATTTCAAAAGTACAAAAGAATCATCATGATGGTTTGTGAGGCTTTGTAAAGCTGTTCTTTTATATTGTATTTTCATGTTATGAACCGCTCTGAGATCTATAGATGAAGGGTGATATACAAATTTAATAAAAAATAATAATGAGTCCAGTAATGCTGCCCTTAGATTTTGAACTTCTAGAAAACCTAAGAGGGTACAGTCATACCTTGGAAGTTGAATGGAATTTGTTCCAGAAGTCCATTGGACTTCCAAAATGTTCGGAAACCAAAACACAGCTCCTGCACTCAATCGGAAGCCGCAGAAGTGCCGTTGGGCGTTCGGGTTCCAAAGAACGTTTGCAAACCGGAACACTCACTTCCAGGCGTTTGGGAGCCAAAACGTCTGAGTACCAAGGCGTTTGGGATCCAAGGTATGACTGTATATTCATTATAAGTTGAACAATGTTTGTTTTCAATCCTGGTTTTTTAAAAAATCACTATAGTTATTAATAGCTACTTTTCATCAGATCAATTAATGCTATTCCCAGCTTATTAGTCTATAAATCATTTTAGGGGTTCTATAACAGTCACAAAATTAAAAGATGCCTGCTTCTTGGGAGAAAAGCAATGACAAACCTAGACAGCATCTTAAAATGCAGAGACATCACCTTGCTGACAAAGGTCCGTATAGTTAAAGCTATGGTTTTCCCAGTAGTGATGTATGGAAGTGAGAGCTGGACCATAAAGAAGGCTGATCGCCGAAGAATTGATGCTTTTGAATTATGGTGCTGGAGGAGACTCTTGAGAGTCCCACGGACTGAAAGAAGATCAAACCTATCCATTCTGAAGGAAATCAGCCCTGAGTGCTCACTGGAAGGACAGATCGTGAAGCTGAGGCTCCAATACTTTGGCCACCTCATGAGAAGAGAAGACTCCCTGGAAAAGACCCTGATGTTGGGAAAAATTGAGGGCACAAGGAGAAGGGGACGACACAGGATGAGATGGTTGGACAGTGTTCTCAAAGCTACCAGCATGAGTTTGACCAAACTTCGGGAGGCAGTGGAAGACAGAAGTGTCTAGCGTGCTCTGGTCCATGGGGTCACGAAGAGTCGGACGTGACTAAAAGACTAAACAACAAAAATATTCATATCCTCCCATCAACTTTATAAACCACAACATGGACACAAGGAGTTGCAATGGTTCACTAGCCTGACAGATGATGATGATGATGATGATGATTTATTACTTATATCCTGCCCATCTGACTGGGTTGTCCCTGCCACTCTAGGACAGGAGTTCTTCTGAACTGCAGACATGACCCATAAACCATCTAAGTTTTCCTAGTGAATATTCCTGTGGCTTTTTTAAAAAAAATCTTATCACATAATCACAGTTCTTTATTTAAAATCAGGGGGAAAGAGCAAGCCATTCTTTGGAGAAGGGGAGTGTTAAAAAAAAGGGAAGAACCTGCACACACACACCCAGAAGTTAATGGAAAACAACTTCTATCATCCCTTATCACCTCCTATGCTGCCTTGGACTGATGGTAGTGGGAAACCTTCAACATCTTAAGGACCACAGTGCAGTTACTTATCTTGCTGCTTTGAAGAGGATTTTTAGGAATGCTCTCAAATACAGCATAAAAATCAATTCTGAATGAATGAATGAATCGGCTCTGAATAATGTTCATGTCCTTTTTATGTAATGTTTGTTTTTTTACTGAAGTGGACACCACAGCCAGTCTGAGGAAGGAGCTCAGTGATGCCACGCAACAATTCGATCACTTTGCCACTTCATCACCACCAAGTTCTGAAGACTCCTCCTCAAAATGATCTACAACTCACAAAGGGTGCAGAGAAGAGTCTCCCTATACAAGTCTATGGAAATGTTGAGCTATGAAGCCAAGTGGCACAAACCTTTCCCTAAGAAATTGCCCAAATTCCCTCTAAAGCAATCCCCAGCTCAGGAGAAACACCTCTAATCGCTCATCAGTAGGAATGAGAGAAAAAGGAATTCTATCCTACCAGCAAAGACAAATGCACAGTGTGCAAGAGTCAAAAAGGTAAAGGTGAAGGACCCCTGACAATTAAGTCATATAGCACCTTAAAGACTAAAAGAATAAGGCTGTGATCCTGTAAATCCCACCGGACTCAATGGGGCTTCCTTCCAGGTAGCCATGGCTAGAATTGCACTGTCGGGGTGCATTCCTGTATCCACTTACCTGGAAAGGAGACCCACTGAACCCAGCTGGACTTACTTCTGAGCAACCACACACAGAGACGCACTGTGCTATTGTGGAACAAGTTTTCCAGGTGTGGCCAAGAGTGTGTGCAGCTTGTTGGGAGTCTGCTGCGATGTTAGGAACTTCGCAGAAACCTCGTCCTTGTGGTTAATTGTTGCGTTTCGACGCCAGCTGCTCTGACCGTCTCGTTTTCAAACTGAAGAGAGAAGGGCAGCAAGTCCCTTTAAATAAATATATAATGCATTAAATAAAAAAATTAAAAAGACGCAGTGCGAGACACTTTTTCGCAGCGCAGCGCGCCCCTGAGATTGGCTGTTTGGGGCGCTCTTCTTCTGCACACTGAAACTCCTTCGCTCCCGCCCCAGACCCACGAAGAGGCCGGTGGGTGGGGAAAGAAAGTCGTCGTCCCCCCCCCCCCCGACATGCATCTCCCTCGGCCGTGTCCGAGGAGAAAAACTCCATTTCTGGTCCCGTAGGAGGATTCGTCCCGAATGCCCTTTCCCACCTGCCTGCGCGCCTCGCCTTTACCTGCTCGTGCGCCTCTGCCATGCTTCCCGCGCCGCCGCCGCCGCCGCCGCCGCAGCCCCAACGCAGACGCCGCCGGAGGAGCGAAGCCAACGACACCCGCTTCCCCTCTCACTCTTCCCCCGACTCCATTCCTCAGGGGGCTGGGGGGCGGGGACCTCCGTGGCCGGCTTCGCCGCCGCCTCGAGCTGCTCGGCCAGGGAGAAAAGTGCCTCAGGGAGAAGGAAGGCGAAGCTGTTTCGAACAACGTGAGTCTCCTCTCGCAGCAGTTGTTGTGTGGGGTCGTTAGTTCCCGCCCGGACAGAGAGGAGGAGGAGGAGGAGATGGAGTCGGGCTGCTGGCGCCTTGGCAACTATTTAACCTCGCCAGTGCGCTGGTCATCATAATAAATGAGAGGCAAAAGCGCGGTCGGGGCTCTCCACACACTTCTCTCCCCCCTCCTCCCTTCCTGCGCGCGCGCCGCTTCGCGCGCCTCCAAACTCCCCGAGGGCCCATCAGGCGGGAAAGCAAATGAGGGCAGAAGCAGCTGCGAGGAGGGAGAGAGGGAGACGCCGCCGCCGCGGAAGGACGTGAGGCGTGGCGCGCTCAGTCTCAAGCACCACCGCCAGATGCTTCTCTTGTGTCAATGTCACACGACGAGGTGGTTTCAAGAGCTCTAGCCCTTGGGCCGCCTGAGAGCGAAACAGTTTTTTAAAAAATGTTCTCGCTTATGAGGAACTCTCCCTGCGAGTTGAAAAAGCAGCACACACACACCAGGCAGCGAAGTTCTAGCCCAGCCCTGGGCTTGCTATGGCTGGTTCTAGCCGTTTGCTAGGAGTTTCATACACGCGCAGGTTAGAGGGTCGGACTAGGAGGACCTGGGAGACCAGGGTTCAGATTCCAAGAAGCTCACTGGTTGACCTTGGGCCACTCACTGTCTCTCGGCCTGTCCTACCTCACAGGGTTGTTGTGGGAATTAAAGGAGGAGGGGAGAACCATGAGCTCCTTGAAGAAGGTTGGGATATAAATGCAAGAAATAAATAGCTAATACAGTGGTACCTCAGGTTACAGATGCTTCAGGTTACAGACTCCGCTAACCCAGAAATAGTACCTCGCAGTGGCGTAGCGTGGGGGGTGCAGGGGGGGCCGGCCGCACCGGGCACAACATCTGGGGGGGCGCGCTCGCACTCGCAGCTCTCTGCCCCTACCTGGCTCACTCAGGCTCACTTAGGGGGTGCAAATTACTTGCCTTGCCCCGGGTGCTGACAACCCACGCTACGCCACTGGTACCTCGGGTTAAGAACTTTGCTTCAGGATGAGAACAGAAATCTCATGGCGGCAGCGGGAGTGGTACCTCAGGTTAAGAATGGACCTCCAGAACGAATTAAGTTCTTAACCCGAGGTAACACTGTATATAATAAAACTCATGAGCTATATGTGAACCTGGTGCAAGCTCCTATCACTTATGATAACACCCTGATCATACAGATTGCAAAAATGGTCGGAACACTAATCCTTGTATTTGCCGGAAATATCTAGTTAAATTGAATGCAGATTTCCAAAGAAGAGCAAGGAGAGACAAGAAGACCTTCCTAAACGAGCAATGCAAAGAAATAGAGGAAAGCAATAGAATGGGAAGAACCAGAGATCTGTTCAAGAAAATTGGAGATATGAAAGGAACATTTCGTACAAAGATTTCCATAATAAAGGACAAAAGTGGAAAGGACCTAACAGAAGCAGAAGACATCAACAAGAGGTGGCAAGAATACACAGAGGAATTATACCAGAAAGAAATGGATGTCTCGTATACCCCAGGTAGTGTGGTTGCTGACCTTGAGCCAGACATCCTGGAGAGTGAAGTCAAATGGGCCTTAGAAAGCACTGCAAATAACAAGGCCAGTGGAAGTGATACTATTCCAGCTGAACTATTTAAAATTTTAAAAGATGATGCCGTTAAGGTGCTACACTCAATATGCCAGCAAGTTTGGAAAACTCAGCAGTGGCCAGAGGATTGGAGAAGATCAGTCTACATCCCAATCCCAAAGAAGGGCAGTGCCAAAGAATGCTCTAACTACCGCACAATTGCACTCATTTCACACGCTAGCAAGGTTATGCTTAAAATTCTACATGGAAGGCTCAAGCAGTATGTGGACCGAGAACTCCCAGAAGTGCAAGCTGGATTTAGAAGAGGCAGAGGAACCAGAGACCAAATTGCAAACATGCGCTGGATTATGGAGAAAGCTAGAGAGTTCCAGAAAGAAATCTACTTCTGCTTCATTGACTATGCAAAAGCCTTTGACTGTGTCGACCACGGCAAACTATGGCAAGTTCTTAAAGAAATGGGAGTGCCTGATCACCTCATCTGTCTCCTGAGAAATCTCTATGTGGGACAAGAAGCTACAGTTAGAACTGGATATGGAACAACTGATTGGTTCAAAATTGGGAAAGGAGTACGACAAGGCTGTATTTTGTCTCCCTGCTTATTTAACTTATATGCAGAATTCATCATGCGAAACGCCGGGCTGGATTAATCCCAAGCCGGAATTAAGATCGCCGGAAGAAATATCAACAACCTCAGATATGCAGATGACACAACCTTGATGGCAGAAAGTGAGGAGGAATTAAAGAACCTTTTAATGAGGGTGAAAGAGGAGAGCGCAAAATATGGTCTGAAGCTCAACATCAAAAAACGAAGATCATGGCCACTGGTCCCATCACCTCCTGGCAAATAGAAGGGGAAGAAATGGAGGCAGTGAGAGATTTTACTTTCTTGGGCTCCATGATCACTGCAGATGGTGACAGCAGCCACGAAATTAAAAGACTCCTGCTTCTTGGGAGAAGGGCAATGACAGGCCTAGACAGCATCTTGAGAAGTAGAGACATCACCTTGCCAACAAAGGTTCATATAGTTAAAGCTATGGTTTTCCCAGTACTGATGTATGGAAGTGAGAGCTGGACCATAAAGAAGGCTGATCGCCGTAGAATTGATGCTTTTGAATTATGGTGCTGGAGGAGACTCTTGAGAGTCCCATGGACTGCAAGAAGATCACACCTATCCATTCTGAAGGAAATCAGCCCTGAGTGCTCACTGGAAGGACAGATCGTGAAGCTGAGGCTCCAGTACTTTGGCCACCTCATGAGAAGAGAAGACTCCCTGGAGAAGACCCTGATGTTGGGAAAGATGGAGGGCACAAGGAGAAGGGGGCGACAGAGGACAAGATGGTTGGATAGTGTTTTCGAGGTTACCAGCATGAGTTTGACCAAACTGCGGGAGGTAGTGGAGGACAGAGGTGCCGGGCGTTCTCTGGTCCATGGGGTCACGAAGAGTCGGACACGACTAAATGACTAAACAACAACAACATCTAGTTACCAATCTCCTGTTAGCAGGAACAGAAAATGAAAATCTCTTTTAAAGTTACTTTATGATTCAGGAACTGCAAAGATAAAGATGTGGTCTTCCCAAAATTAAGGCAGTGTCCTCTTCAATTCAAATGTATCTCACAAAACACAATAGTACACTAGAATGAAGACACAATAATTCAAAGGAAGCCCCTTCCCCTGTGCATGGAAGTTAGAATCAAGGTATACTTAAATTAAAGGTTATCAATTGTTAGTTAGCTCACAGTTCCAAAGGGGGCGGAGGGCGGAGGAAGCCCCAAAGAGACCTGAGGCACACTGGGCCTCTTTGCTCTTCAGTGATCTCAGGGATCAACCCTACCCTTTGCTGAACCACACAGATGAAAGGAATTGGTGAGAGACTCTGTTGCCTTCCTGATACAGGATTTCAAAATTGTGGGGGAAGCATTATTTGCTCCCCACATACCTGCAACCTTGCTGTCTAAAGTAACACCAATATTCTCTTGTCTCTATCATTTCTGAGAAATAAACCAATCTTCTTCTCTTTCCTGGCGTGACGAGTTCTTTATTGGGCATAACGGTTAAAGGTGTACACACATTTTTAATGGACAAATGTCCTTACTCCCCACAAAAGATTCCATTCCTCTCAGAAGTGTACATTGGATCTATAAACATGGTGGATACATATGTGGATCTCATGTATACAGGCACTTAGTTGTGTTCTACTCATACAAGGCTGCATATATCTGCAGCGCTGGAAAATACATAAATAAATAGAATCCTACCAGAAAATGGTGGGAGACAGCTGGAAAGTCCTCGTGGCTTGCGAGGAGACCCCAGAGCCCGAAGAGGACATATTGAGGGCGGAGGAAGCCCCGAAGAGACCTGAGGCACACTGGGGCTTTGTTTAAGCTGCTCACCCTCTCCACTTAGCAGCTGATATCTGGGGTAGTGCAGCAGCTGCTGCTGCTGCTGCTTTTCCATGCATCCTCCAGCCTTCAGCTGGTCCCAGAGCTTTAACTCTAGTTATTTTGCTCTGGATTGGAGAGATAGCAGGAGAAAATAGACATTTAGAGGCTTTTTTGAGGGTCCTCACTTTATGCGATTTCACTTATGCACACGGGGCCCCGGGATATATCCCCCACCTAAGTGGGGTGATACCTGTGCCTCATAACAATACCCAGAGTAAGCCCATTGATTTCATTTAGTGTACTTAGAGTAGCTGCATACAAAACCCCAAGTGTCTCATGATGTAAGGTTTGCAGATATTCTTTTTGCAGATAATGGGAAGTGTCTCATGATGTAAGGTTTGCAGATATTCTTTTTGCAGATAATGGGAACTGTGGAAAGTGTTTGTTGTTTCACCCCAGTATTTATTCTATTTTCAACATCTTATTTCCTAGCAAGAAAAGTCAGACCCTCGAATCATATTCCTGGGAAAATAACAAGTCCCTAGAGATTTTAAAGTCCAAAGATACTGGCTGAACCGATCAAAACTTGGTCAGAGAGATTTTAGGAGAGAATAAATCCATCATTTTGATATCATCATATGTCTCACTTTTTGCCCAAATGTCCTGTAAAGTTTGATGTCATGCTATTTTTAGTTAGGAAAGTTATCCATTAATCTTATCCATTGTCTGAAATAATAGTTGAATCTATACTTATTATGTTCACTTTACATATACAGT